TAAAATATTAAATGACTGTATTTTGAAAAGTAAATTAAGTGAAGCATCTTAAAGAAGACACAATGTTTTTAAGTAAAAAGTAAAGGCAATTAATAATATATTTTGAATTGTATTGCTACATCTAATTTTTCATGCTATAAAAAATTAAAAAATCTAACATTAAATGCCTTTCTTTTATTTTTTCACTTACAATAAGGGGTGTCTGCTTTAAGACACTTTGCATTATCTTAATATTAAACTGAAATAGTTTAAAAATACTGTTTATTCAGTTTACATATGATATAAGCTAATAACTAAACAGCAGATATAGTTACAAAATATGATTCAATAGTTTGAAATCAAAGCAGAGCTTTAAAGATGATTTTAAAAAAGAAATATGCTAAGTAGTACACTATACATCCGAAAGAAATAAACCATAATTTAAATGGCACACTAATCGAAAAAGGTTCACCATCCTTGGATTAATCTGATTGCTTATGTGAATCTTTGCAGTCTAGCATGTTGTTTAAAACACACGCAGGTCTCTTCATTTTACAAAAGTTAACGTAATGTCATTATAATGTTTATTAAAGAGCTGAGTTAGTATCTACTTCTATTTTCAACAGAAATTGAATGAGGATTTTAATTTTTTATTAAACTATCATTTAGTATTGTTTTATGCAGTGCTTGGAAGAAAAGCGTGAATAATTGTGAAAGAGCTTGCAAGTAAGAATACGGGGTGTCTAACTGTATATGAAAATTTTGTAGCAAGAAATGTTTCGGTTTGTACAGTCAAGTATACTTTTGTATTTCAAACCTTTTTTATCAGCCAGAGCAGGCAACAAAATCGAGTATGCAATGATGGGCAGGAAGATAAGGCCACTGAAAATGTAGTAACTCAACAGAAATTATAGTCTTCGCTGACTTAAATATATGCATCAGTGTCACATTTTTCACGAGTAAACTATCCAATGTGTTTCTTGCTTCTTAATTTTAGAAAATTAAATTCCATTATGCATATTATTTCCATTTAATTATGGGCAGTAGATGAATTTTTTTATATTTGCAGATGCAGATAATATTTGTATTTATTTGCGAAAAGAGATATTTAGCATATTTTTCTTGCTTTTATGCTGTGTAGTATTAGATTTAACGCTTTGTTTAATTTTTTTAAGCTTGGGAACATACAAAATGTTTCCAGGTATAAATTCATAATACTTTTTTTTTCTCCTTTACACTATATGAGCTTATGAGACTTTTTATATGAACACCATGTTTTCATAAAAATGAAGAAACTTAGGTAGAAATAGACTTATCTCTTGATAAATGCACTCAAGTGAGAGTGACAAAATACCATTGTACAACACAGGCTGTTTTGAAGCAATGATTTTCTCAATACAAAGCAACATCTTATGCAAGCAATGGCAAGTGTGATATTATGTACTTTTGATCACATAATATGAATGTTCTACTAGTGTGTGATATTTCATTTGCTTTTTAAGTATGTTACCTGTTCCTTTAAAAAAAGTTATATATATATATATGTGTGTGTGTGTGTGTATAATATTATTATTATTATGAAAGTCTTGAGTTGAAGAAACTTCTCCATATTTTCTTATATATTTGAATAATGCATGTATTTCTTTGTCAAAATTAGGATGTTAGAATAGACATGAATAGAGATTCATGGCTGAGACCATCTCTGGAGAGCAATGTCAGAGAAGGATGCAGAGTTCAAAATCCTTGCCATGGAAATCCCTGTCCGAAGAATAGTACATGTGTGGACCTCTGGGATCATTATGAATGCCAGTGTGACATGGGTGAGAAATCATTATTTTAATAATTTGAAATATTTGTGTGCTATGAGTGCTTCAATTATTTCAAAGAATTTAAGACCAAGAAATTTTACAAGATTCAAACTTTGCGCATGTTTATTTATTTCTTAAGTATCATATATGAAAGCAAGTTTTTTTGTAAGTGTATCAAATCACAACATATTATAATTTTATTGTTGCACTGCAGAAAACTAAAAAGTAAAACACGTCAGAAAAATGCATTCCATCATAAGCGAAATTGTACTTCTAAATGTACATATGGTGAGATTCATCTAAATATGAAATTTAGCACAGTTTAATTAAAAATTAGCTATGAGTTGAAGCAATTAATTTATAATTAAGATGTAACTGATTGAACTGAACTAAAATTATGCATAGAAAAGTCTGTAATTGGCAAAATTTTAGCATTTAAATTCAAGTTTATCTCCTCTTTTGGTTCAAGCATTTTAAATTATTAATTACAAATTCTATTGAAATCAGTATTGGATGTATAAATATGATTCCATCTTTTTTTCTAATAGTTTTCATAAATAACACTACTTACGTACAGGATCTGGGAACACTGTATATGAAAGCAACCATCAATATGCAACTGTATGTGACAATTGTTTAAACTAAAACACTAATTATTTTTGTTTCATAGTTTTATGAAAAACAAAAAGATAAACAAACAAAAATGCTATCTGAAAGATGTTTTGCTTGACTGTTTTATTACGAAGAAAATTGCTGTAGAAATGTATTATTTGCTGTTAGAAATTTGAGATAAATGTGTTGCATCAAGTTCAACTTACAAAGACGTGTTTTTATGATTTAAAAATAACTATTTTAACACACATGACAAAAAGCTTGGAAAAACATCAAAACTATTTCAGCTGTTGCAGCCAAACCGGACTTAACATTATAAATAGCAGTTAATTAAGTAGAATGAAGTATTACTGAAAACTCTTCCAAATATACTACAAGACATGAAGAAATTATTTCCCTGTATGTCAGTCAAAAAAATTAGAAGCACTTTGCTGGGATTGTTGTCTTGCCTGTCATATTCACTTGATGTTTCTCCTTCAGATGACCATTTATTTCATGGCAGAGCAGCCTTTCTAGAAACAGCTTAAATTTTTTATGAGGATATCGAAAATTGGCTTGATAAACTGATTTTTTCAAAATAAATAAGCTGTGTCCTTTTTAGTGAATATGTCTTTTTTAACTGGCATCAGTATTTCAGAAGTGATTTAATAAAATATTTGCATCACATTTAAATGAAACAAAATACTTTTTGTCAGTATCAAAATAATCCTGCCTAGTAAGCAGAGTGACTTTTCGGCGATCTAACAAGGTTTGACTGTACATGTCTTTATACGCTATACTCTAATAATAAAACCAGCTAGACAAGAGAATATTTTTCAAGAGTATGAATCATAAGGATATAGGAATACCTGAGAGTGTTATAATATATTTATCGATATTACAAATGTAGATGTTGAATCCAAAACAAATCATTTCTCTCTCTCACACACAGTACTATTCAGTATAAGCATGAATATGTGTCAATCAAGGAAACAAACCAAGCAATACAGTCAAATGTCTTTAATCCAGACATCCATAATCCGAACCTCAAAGCTACAAACGTTCTGCACATGCGTAAATGCATAATGCGTTAACGCATGCGCACAATATCTTTACAAATGCGCATGTGTGTTAACGCAAGAGATAATACGTTTACGCATGCACTTTTAATGTATAACGGATGGTATAAGCTAAGCTAAAATTATCTAATTATCTATTTCAGTTGCAGTTATGTTGCAGATTGTGTTGTTCCTTAATCTTCTAATTGGATCCAGCTTATTTTTTGCAGACTGTTAGAGCAATTTTTTAAAAGTAAGCTTAAAATTTCGATTATATCAAAAAGAATTTCAGATTCTGGAGTTGATCTGCAAAGCAAAAGCATGTTTCGATGTCCATCAAACAAAAAGTGGAATTGCTGGAAAAAATGGATAAAGGCATATCCTTTGTTTCTCTAACTATTCCAAAATCTGTTTATCAATTTCACGCTGCTCTGCTGGGCGGGGGAAACATCACGGCATGCAATGAAATGGAAGTTGATCTGTCAGCACTATCCTTATCTTCAGGGCAGATGTTTTTTTTTTTTATTCAGGTTATAATTTCTTACTAAATGTAGTATTTGATTTCGATGTACTCCATCTTTGATATGATTTAAATCAAATTCCTCATCATTATAAATATTACGAATACACATCAAATAGTTTTCTGGTTGCAATTTTCTAATTTCGACTATGCGTAATGTATGCTTAATAAAGTAAACAAATAAATATTAAGCCTTTTTTTTTTTTTTTTTTTTTTTTTTTTTTTTTTTTTTTTGTAAATTTTGATACCTTTTTATTATTGCTCTTTATTTCATAAATTAAAGTTTCATATTTTTAATTTATAATTTCTGCATGCCATCTTACCAGATTTAAATTGATGATCTATAATCCGGAATCGCCGAAGTCCCTACGAGTCCGGATTAAAGACTTTTGACTGTATTATAGATTACTTCATGGTACTCTAACATAGTCACTCATGAATTATCTAAGTCATTATAATTTTTGAGATGCTGTATTAAATGGATATTTTTTAAGAATTTGTGATAACCTTGTTACATCAAAACATTATGCAGGACATATTAAAGTAATTATAAATTATTTCATGAAATTTTTGTGTCTCCGGAAAACTTTTAGCACAATTGGAAGCAAATCTTGTGACACTTATTGTGTTAGTAAATGTTTCTCAGCACTATAGAGTATATCGTTCACTTTATAGAAACTATTTCATGCAGTGATTTTTTTCTACTCTGATAGCTTTGTTTTTTGGCTGTAGAAATGTCAGGTGATTTTAGAGGTCTTTCATTAAATGGGGATATATTTTATCCTGTTTCTGTTCCTTTCTGTGCTAAATAATTAGCAGTTGTGTGACTAGTTACATGTCTGACTAGAGGCCTTGTCCACATAAAGTTCCAGCTTGATGGCCTTAATTTCCATGTAAGGTTGAAATTTCGTTTTCAAAAATTGGTTCTAAAATGTTTTGCTGATAATACCGTGAATTAAAATTTTAGCCTTATTTAAGACTTTTTCAAATTTTAATTGACCGTTTAATTGCAAAATAATAATAATAATTTTATAATTGTTTTTAACTGTATTTGGTGTTTTTGGTTTTTCTGTATTTTACAATGTATAATGAATATGTTTTGAGTTTTTATGTATTTTTGCTTTGCCACGAAGTGAGAACTGAATCAATTGAATGAGAAATATATTTCTAGGGAAAGTAGAGGAAATTAAGTTTATAAGGTATTTCTTCCGTCTTTGTGGTGTAGTGGTCTGCACGCTCAGCATGTAATTGAGAAATCTTCACTTCGATTGCCGATGAAGGCATTGCTAGTTTTTCATCTTGCCTGCTTCCCTCCCCCCGAAAAAAATACTAATGTCTCTACAAGTTTTAAGTAAAATGCAGGAAAACGTGTGCATTATTTTAGAGGGCATTCAAGGAAATTATGTGGTGTCCACATCAGATATTTTTAATTATGAAGAGAACAGAGTCATATTTATACACTTAACAGAAGCCTCTTTGGCAGAGTAATTGCAGTTTTTATGCCATGTTCATGGGCTATTTCATCTGAAATGTATTAAGGGTGTTGTTTTAATGCACTCTTATCAACTAAGCTAAAAGAATTAACTTAAGTAAACTTGGTTTACAAAATCATGTAAGAAATGTCTTCATGCAGACTAAATAGTTTTGAAAAGAATTTTTTGTAATTACTTACAACAATTAAAAAAATCATCCATACTTGAATATTATTTTGTATTTATCTGATGACAGATTTGTATATGCAGAGTGTTTAAATAAGGCTGCATGGCAAAATATCGCTTGAATAATCAATCATAGACCTACGGCTTAGGTTAAAAAAATAAAGAAAATGAATATTTTAATTTTATAAGAGAGTCTGTAAAGAAACTTCCAACTAATGAATTGTTTTTAATCCTAATGAAATCTTTTAGAAGTAAAATCCTGTTTATAATATGTAAAACTGGCTGCAAAATTTTAGATGATGTAAATTATTTTCACCCAAGAAAAGAATAAGAATTCAAAATATGTTTAAAATTGAATTTCATAATTAAAAATTTCTTGATTTAGTATTTAAGAATGTTAGTTTGAAATCACTTCCTAATTTAAAGTCATACTAATGTAATCTTAAAAGTTTGCAGTAAACATTTTAACATCTGTAATTGTCTGTATCTGTGGCTGTCTACATGACCGTTAAATTTTTTTTATTAAGATATTTTAGTAATTTTGATTATTTGGACTTTTTTGGGAGGGGGCAGAATTAATTTTTCTATTGAATCATATTAAATGACTTTTTTTTCTGTAGTGCCTATATAAAATTTAAATTCCATATATTCTTATTAAAATGTATCATGTGATCAGAATGTTCATAACTACAAGGGCTATTTTATTTGGTTAATTCATTAAACTGAAACCATGTTTTATCCAACTACTGAAGAAGAATTTAATTGAGAAATATCTCTCTCTCTTTTTTTAATATCCTGCATAATCTCAAAAGGTAGTTGCTTTTTACATTCTTTTTTATTTATACATTAAAGAACAAATCTAAAATGATAAAATGCTTATATTGTCACCAAAATAACTTTCTCTCTCTCTTTTTTTTTTTTTTTTTTTTTGCTACAGGCTTTATTGGTCAGCAGTGTCTTCCTGTTTGTGAAATGAATCCTTGTGCCACTGGGTCTATTTGTAGGCCATCTGTAAAAGATTCTTTCCACAACAGTCATAAGTATGGCTACAGCTGTGAATGTGATTCTCTGCACACTGGAGAATACTGTGAGATGCCTCTGGATCATCCTTGCCCTTCCAACTGGTGGGGCTATCCAATATGTGGGCCCTGTCATTGTGACACTAGCAGAGGTTATGATGCTAACTGCAATAAAACAAATGGGGAATGCAAGTGTGAGGTAAATTTAAAGTTATTGAAAAATTCTTAAGTTATTTCTTTCCACAAATAACATCTTCAGAGTGTTGATTATGTTTTCCGTTATGACAAATAATCATGTATTTCATTCTGTTAATACGGTGGTTTAGAAGCCTTGGCACAGTTCAAATCCCAGAGAATGCATGGTTGTTTGTATAGTGTCTTGTGGCGTGGGAACTCTTAAAATATTGTTGAGAAAACGTCTTCTCAAGATGTTTTTGGAAGAGAAAGAAGGGTGGGAGGCACTTGGATTTGAACCCTGAGGGACTGTCCTTCAAAGTTTTGATAGAGTAGGACAAATTTTTATTATCTCCTATAAGCTGTCAAAGGCCAAAGCCAATGATAGAGACAGCCATAGTCATAATAAAATTCATAGACCATATTTGATCCAACAATAATAAAAATAATAATCATGCACAAATCTTCTAGTGTGCGGCCCTGAAAGGTATGTGGTAAGTTCATATCCTGCTGGACTGTATTTGAATCTTGGATGAGATACAAATGCCAGGTTGGATTAAGACTTTTAGAGGCTCTAAGTACTTAAAAGATTTTGATGCCTTCAGTAATATTCATACTAGTTATTTCCCCATTCTGTCACTCTCAATCTTGTTTAACTCAATCATACATTTCATGGTAAAACTGGCAATTGCAAGATTTTGTAGAGCCCCCTTCCACGATGTACTAAGCATGTGCTTATTTTGCTTAATGGTTAATCCAGCTTTGCATAGATGTTACGACTGCAATAATATCATTTTGGAATGGAAAAACTTAAAAATCTATTGCTCTAAAAGTCCGTTCCAGAGGAGGATAGGTGAAGAGTGACAAAACAAATTTTGAATTCCATGCCCTTTGGAATGGGGATGGAAATCGAACAAATAGCACTTGTGTGCTTTGCCTATATTAAATAATCCGAGCCTATTTCCATTAAATAATCCAACATTTCATTTCTTTCTTGGTAGAGACATTTGAAAACTTCAGCCATTAATATTTTTTTTCCCTTTAAATTTGATTATGACAAAGAACTCAAGGGCTCTCTGCCTAAGAAGGGAAACTAGCTCATATACAGATTACACATGGGAGAAACCATGAAAATGCCCTGCAGCAGCCAGCCTGTTTGCTGGGATTTGAACCCCATACTAAAGTACCAGTGTTCAGCGACTTTGTTCACCACCCCTCAGCCACTAGTGGGCCTTAGCCTTAAATGGATTGAATTTATAAAATAGGAATTAGGTTTATTAATATAAACTTTTTTAAAATTTTACTTCATTAATTACTTTGTTAAACTAATTAAACAATTCTGCTCATTAGTCCCTTTCACTTCTTTATTATTCTTTTATGAAATAAATTGTAGTAATTATTTTCTTAATATTAAGTATTAAAATTATTATTTAATATTAAGTATTAAATTATAAAGTATTAAAATTTACTTCATAAATTAATATTTATTTCATGAACTTAAGAGAATGTTCTTCTACTCCTTTATTTACGTTTAGCATCGCACATGAGTCCTTACTCAAGTTTCATGTTTTGTAAACTCGTGATAAAGAAAAGTATATAAATAGTATTCGCAGTTGGCGTCAGATCAATGATGTATATTGAACGTTTCAGCTTGAGATCTGTGCGAAGCAGATATGGAGCCAAATTACTGATCATACAAATTTATGCTAAAATGATTGTTTCTTCAATAACAAGGTATTTTATTGAGTGTCAAAGGGAAATTAAGAATCAGTACTCTCCATATGTTTTATTATGCGCAGGGGGGGGAATCAAATGCGCATGTGTAAAACCTATATGAGAAAAATGATATTGGTGGTTTTGAGGTCCAGATTTTAGAGCATTCTGGATAATGGACATCCGAATTTCAGACTTGATAACGTATATTTTTGATGGCAGGTTTAAACAAAAAATAGTTGAAATTTTTTTAATTAAAAAAAGAAAAAGAAAGGCCCATTCATAACGTTGATTTGTCATCCAGAACCATTAAGTAAATTGGTCACTGTTTGCCAAGATAAAAATATTGACATAAGTTGCTCTGGCATTGAGATGCTTCGCACTTTTATGAAGATCAGTTTTAATTTGAAGAAAGCAACCTTCATAACTATGCCATCTTTATGCCATGATGATATTATGCTTTTTTGAAAGTTTCTGTCTTTGCCAATAATGACTGATTTGCATAAAGATGCTAAGGACATCTCAGAGAAAAAGAAATTGAATCAAACTGCCTGCTTAAGGGGCCTTATGAGGAAGAGGTGAGTTAATCCCATATCTGTCAAACTATGCAAAAAATAAGCATAAAATAATCATTGTTATATAAAAAGAAGTGGAAACGTAACTACTGTTAACAGAATTTTATTTCAGTCACTGGAGTTTTGAGAAGCTTAAGCTGAAATTGTGATAAGATTTTATGTAAACGAATATATGGGCCAAGGAAATGTTATTTCTAGTTACCTTCTGATGTGAAATGTGCTTATTGTTTTGTACACAAATATTGAACTTGAAGTCAGGGTTTAGATGCATTCTTTAGGAAAAAATTTTAGTTAAACTGCTGATACCACATTTATGTCCTTGCAATGTTGTTTTAAGATTATTACACTTCTATATAATAGGTAAAACACTTTAATGCCCAAGGAATTTCCAAGAATTTGTAACATGTATACAGTTGACAAGTTATGAATGTGAAATTAAGCATATAAATAACTAAAAAATATACATATAATGTGAATGAGCCTGTTTGCAACTATTCGTCCAGAACAGTAAGAAGGCTACCTCTGACAGACTGTGTTATAGTTATTCAAAAAAATATGCAACAAAACCCCATGATAATGAACTTAAAGGGATCCAAAACATGGTTTGTTAAATCCATTTTGATATGGAAAAGATGGGTCATCTCACAAAATAGTGTGAAAATTATTTGTCAATCATGCAAAATGAATGATGAGTGTTGTCATATCTCCCCAAAAGTGTTAATAATAATTTTAATTTAAAAAAGGTATTATAAGGGAATTACAATTATTATTATATGCACAACTACTTTTTTTCCTGTTTCGCAATATGTTAATAACTTTACACAAAAAATTACTTAGCAAAACTCATGGGTGAGATCCTTGCCTCCAACTGCGTATTTCTATCTAAAATGCATATTTACAATTGTGAATAAATTCCAGCCTAGAAGAGCTATCCAGTAGCTCAATCAAAGAACTTGAATGTAATCAAATAACCAGTTCAAGTTCCTTGTCTCAATGAGTCATTGGTGACACAATAGGATCCACTAAGATATGTTTTTTTGTGTGTCCTAATTTTCGAAGAATTGAGTGCTGTACTTGCCTAGCATAGCCTTTTGTTTTGAGCACAGAAAAAGGTGGGGATGACAATAAAAGAACAGTATTCATTATTCTAATATTCTAAACAGGATAAATTTAAGGATTAATAATTTTTCAGTTGAAACCTGCAGAATGAAAAAAAAAAAATGAATTTTTGTACTTTGAAAAGTACAAAAAATTTTCACTCCAAGATGTTTACAGTTTCTCATATCCAATTTTTATATATTTGGAAGTTTACTACAACGTATACTATAGTTAAGTCTATAGGAAATTTTACAAAATCAAAAAGTTTGTTATTATATCTAGTGGTAGGTTTTCACTATGTATTTTCATATTTATTATAAATTTTCCTATGCCTTACTGTTTTGCTATGTATCATAGCTTTGTCAGTCTTAAGTAATTGCATACTCATATGCCAAAGAAGAATTGTCTTTTTACAGGACAAGCATTTCCAACCCCTGCACAGTGACATCTGTTTTGATTGTGATTGTTATGCAACAGGCTCATTTGGAAATCGATGTGATCCAATTACTGGTCAGTGCAAGTGTAGAGCTGGTGTCATTGGACGTAGGTGTGATTCATGCTCTAACCCTTTTGCTGAAGTTACTCTGAGAGGATGTGAAGGTAAAATTATAGTAATTTGAAGTTTTTATTATAATTCTTTGTGAAAATGAATTCTGTGCATTTACAGTAAATGGTAACTTGAATCTCAAAATTATTTTTGTAAATGTTTATTGTACACTTATCAGGATTTAATGTTCTGTGCATACTTTTGGCAAACATAATGGTGCTAGTATTAATGTCCTGACCTCAAACAGTGAGCTGAATGCAGCTATGTTCTTAAGAGTGCTAGAAGAATAACAACGTACGAAGGGTGTAAAAGACCCTTTTATTAAAATCACTATTTACAGCAACTCCCAACTCGGGAGTGATAACAGAAGAAATAATAATCGCACTTGGGTCTTGAACAATCAAGCAATTTAAAACTAAAACTTCAGTAGATATTTAAATTGTTGCTGTCACAGAGCTTAAACGCGAGAGATTGGCCTATTTATGGTGCGTAGCAGCCTTTGCTAAGTACTAACGCACTTAAATCACTTCCATCAGTATTTGAGGAACAGCACTAAGGCGTAAGAATTTAAATACTAACTATTCTGGTGAACGTTCACCGAGCCGACGTGGTCTGAGACTAAAAGCTCTCTCACACTTGAGAAGTTTCTCACTAACCTTAAATACAAAACTTGGCTCCAAAACAAATTAGCATAAAGCTGAACCGTGCGCTCATTCTGAAGGGAAGTTGAAATAAGAGTTTACAGGAAAGGGTAACTTAAAATAAAAAGAAACTTGGTTAGTTTAACTTAAAACCTTACACACTTTCTGAACAGAGTGAAGATGGGTTTGCCTTAAAGTCCCCATATACATTGAAAACAGTGATTGGGGCTCAAAATCCTCATTGCATAAAATTTCTATATTAAAGATTTTTATATAATTATTTTAATAAATTATTGCAAATTTTTAATCTCTCTCACTTTTTTTTATATTCACAAGTTAGATTTGAGAATTACGAGTTCCTCTAATTTCTTTGTTATTTATAATATCTATAAAAATAGTCTTTAATTAACAAGTAATTTTTGGGAATTTTCAATCTTTTTTAATAAATAAATGATAATATGTAGACCCAAGATAATTGAATTATAGTGTCTGTCTATCTAATTATTAATTAAATAAAGAAATGCAGAAGAGTGTTAAAAAGTAAAATAAGGCCTAAAAGTATATTCAGGAGTTTCAAAAGGGGGCAACTTATATGCCTAACAAATTTTGCTTCTAGCACAGCATTCCAAAAATTCACAACTGAAATTTGCATCTGCACTTTTCTTTCTGATTTTGGTTTATAAAACAAGATGGAAAATGTTTTTTGTTTCATAATTTAAAAAGGAATCATATTATGTTCTAATATTATTATAAACTATTTAATTTTAGTGTTTGTTATTTTTTTTATAATTTTTTTTATTATTTCCATTTAGGTGCATTGAATAAAAATGAAAAAAAAAATTATTATTTTAAAAATTAACTTCACAAAAAGAAATGCCTAGTTTATTCACTTCTTATAATTTTCTTAGTTAGCTTATATTGTTGTTTGTGTTAAAATTATTAAGAGCTATATAGAATAACTTTCTTCTTTTGCAGTTGTTTATGATGGCTGCCCTCAATCATTCAGCATGGGAATCTGGTGGGATCGAACTTTATTTGGTCAAGAAGCCTCACATTCTTGCCCTAAAGGTGCAGTTGGTATGTTCAAAAAGATTTTATTATTCGTCAGTTTGTTTGTAGTAATCATTTAGTTTAATGAAATAGTGTTTTGTATTTAGTTTGCATGCTTAAAAATTTAGCATCAAATCTTTAAAAGAAGCAAACTTATATAATCAAATCAATGATATAAAGTTTTTGGCTATGTAAAAAGCTGTTTTCAGGTGAAGAAATTTGCCTGAATTGATTTCCTTAGGATATTTTAACCCTTTGCGGCTTGGTGGGTCAATATATGTCCCACCTAATTAATATTTATTTTCTCAGTTAGCAATTTCCGTTAGAAATTTTCTAATCTTTTAAAAATAATCTATTTTAGTTATTATTTTTCTCAGTAGATGTTACTACTATACCAGGGCTTAAGTTTATAAGCAAAAAATATTCAAAATAGGATCACAAGAGTGATATCCCTGTATCTCGCATTTTCAAATATTTTAAAAATTTTGGTATACAATTTATGATATGTATGATACTTTTTAATATTCAAAAGTACTTTATTTTCAAAAATCTTAATTGTATTCAATATTTTATAACATTAATTTTGCAGTTGAAATAAGTGGGTTAAAAATTTGTCCCACCACACACTTGAATTTCCGCTCAATAGATGGCAGCACTCACGATTATTTTTTCTTTTCTTTTTGCATCTACTTTTTTTTCGTGATTGCGCGCGCTTTTTACATCCGTTGTATGCTCTGATGTGCTAAAATGTCTAGGAAAAATTTAACAACTCAGGAAGCTTTGGATCTTTTTGCTGAATTGCCGTCCGATTGCGACTCAAATGCTTCAGATGTCAGTTCTGATTCAGATGAAATTGAAATCCAGGAGAGAATAACTGAGGTTGAAGGTATTGCTGAAGAAGAAAGGGAAGTAGTTATAATTTGTTTCGCTTTTTAAAGACACAGACCCATCTATGCATGTGGCACTGTAAATATGGATCGGAAGTATCTACCCAAAAATTTAAAAGACAAATTTATGTCAAGAGAATATAGACTTTTCAGTTAGCGATGATTCAATTTATTGCATAAAATGGAAGGATAAAAGATCCGTTTCTATCCTGTCTTGCTCGGAAAAGGCAACTGAAATGAAAGAAATTAATAGAAAAGAACGAGATGGAAAAATGGAATAGACAAAAAAAACAAAAAAAGTACTGTGCCCAAACAGCATTATTTCATACAATAATATGGGAATATGTCGACTGATTTGATCAACTGAAAGGACTATATGAAATAGACCGCAAAAGCAAGAAATGGTGGTACATGATTTTTTTTTTTTTTTTTTTTACTTTTTAGATGTGAGTATAGTAAACACATTTATTCTATTTAAGTTTGTTCGCGAACCTGATCATGATTGTAAAAACAATGAAAGATTTTCTTCTCTCAGTTACAGAAGGTCTAATGGCACTTTGCAGGCAAGAAAGAGCTGAAAAATGAACTGAAATCCGCCAGTTCAAATAAAAACTAAAAAACCATGTTCGTACAACCAGAAAAGACACTAAAAAATGTAAGTAAAACGCCAAAGAGAACGGAGCAGGAGAAAATGTGCATATTGCAGCATATCGAAAGAAGAACGACCGAACATTTTGCATGTGTGAAACATGTGAAGTGCCTCTATGCTTACAAAAGAATGAAACAACATGTTTTTCAAAGTTTCATGAAAAATGACTTTTTTCAAATTTTAGTCATATATAAATGCTTTTGAATCAAGGGCCAATTTTAATATTTTATTTAGTATCATATGTACGAGTATCAAATTTTAATCTTAAAATAATATTCAAGAAAATATTTTCTTTTGTTCCTAAAATTTAAAAATATTAAATATATACTACATGCAAAATGTGCATATGCAAAATTTTACAATTCATGCATATATGCAATAAGTACAAAATGCATTTTAGTGTGTTTATTATGAATATTTTAGAATGCACGCTTTATTTTGTTTATTCATTCCACATATAATTTTTTTCCCTGCTATACACCAATACGCTATAAGACATGTGCTAGTTGCATGGTGGGACAAACGGTATCCCACCTTCCACCGTAAAAAATAAAAGCGCAGATTTTTTTCAAGCCTTAAAGGCACTTAAGTAAGTCCATCTGACTTAGTCTAAGGCATTTTTTTAAAGATTAAAATATATTTTAAATATGCGTGTCGCAAAGGGTTAATGATAACTACAGTTATATTACAAATTTTTGCCATGTTTATTAGACCTGTTTTATAATTAATGTTAACATGGATTTTAAATGTGAGTCATTTATTAACAGATAATTTTTTTTGTATAATTAATGGGTAAAGGGCAATATGAAAACAAGTTTTCATGGCAGAAGAATACTTGTTTTGTGAGAAATATATTCTTGAAAAAATACTGTAATAGTTTTTTAAGATATTAGAATATGTATTAGGTATTCATCCATTAGAATTCCTATTTAATTAACCACATTTCCCGGGAAAATATCAAGAATCTGCTTCAGCACTGACAGTATTAACCCTTTCGCCGTCCTCTCCTTTCCGCAAAAATTTCTCCCCAGCAGCCACCTGTTTTTCGTAGTGTGTAATGTTGTTTGATTAATGAATTCTCTTTACCATCCTTTTTTTTTTCAAATACTTTCGTAGTGGATGAATGTCAATGAACATTAAGTAAAATTATAAGGAAATAAAGCATAATGGGAAAATAATATCTCTGCATGTTTATAACAGCAGGATAATTTGATAACATCTGTTCCAGGCGGTCCACTCCTCCCATTTCACTGCTGTAATCTTTTACAATTATTGGTTTTTTTACAGTTCTTTTCCCTGTTCCAACATCAATCATTGAGTTATTATGAACTGTACTCATCAAACGTATATCCTTCTTGTCTTTCCAATTCACAACCTCATTTTTTTCTCTTTTTCTGCTGAGTAGACATTGAAGCCATCTCTCACTGTCTTGTATCTTATGTACAATGGCGCAAATATTCATAAAACCTGGGAAAAATTCAATTAGAAATAGAATGCCTGGTTAGTACTGCCCTCTAGTAGGTATTAGAACAAACAAAAATAAAACAAGTAAACATTTAGAAAGCGTTTAAAAGTTTTAAAATGTAGAAGAACGCTTTTAGCATGTTACGGCCACCCTGCAGAAGTTTCACTTGAATGCGCTGGATGCGTTACGGACGACGAAGAGGTTAAGCAAATGCAAAAAGTAATTTTGCATTTGTTTAATGTCATTTTATGCAAATAATTAAAGACCAGTTACCTTTTATATTTAAGCAGAACAGTTGCCTTTGTATCTTGCCTTTTGATTAATGAATTCTCTTTACCATCCTTTTTTTCAAATATTTAATTTTTTCTACAGACTTGAGATATGGCTTTTTCAAGGGCTATTTAATACTTCCATATTATATTCTGTCTATTATTTAAGCTCTCCTGTGTATGTTATGAAAAGAGAAAATTGTTACTTTGAAACACAAATAGCTTAATAATAAACTGTTCCTCAACAGTCAAACATTAAATACTCTAAACTATTTTAAAGCCACTTTATTGGTATTATAATAAGGCAGCTGCCTAAGTTTTGGGGTTGGGTTCTGAAGAAGACAGATATGTTTGTAAATGTATTGTGTCTTTGCAGCATGGAAGCATTTAAACTATTTCCCAACCAAAAGTCTTCTCAAGAGGTTGTTGGTAGGAGATGGGAAACTCTTAGATCCATCACTTAAAAGATTCTCCATCAAATCAAAATAAAGCTGGGCAAAATCATACTAGATATCATTTATAAAGTGTTCAAAGAATATTACATAATAAGAGCAACAGAAGTTTTGAAAGGACAGGCCAAATGATTTAACCTCGAAAACCCAGGTACAAATTTCATAAAACTGTAAAATAATTATACACATCCTTTTCTGATGAAAAATCAACCACAGCTGAAACTGCAGTTTCTACTGATGTAATAAGAACATTCCTGCATACATTTAAGCTAAATGATGAATGTACTATTCTTACATCCTATGCCCTTCAGAGGGCAGGGTCATTCTTAGGTCATTGGCTGCCTGCATACTTTCCTAAGATTGCTGACCCCCAAATTTAAAAAAAAAATGCTCAATGATTAATAAAATTTTATTTCATACTCACTAAGTACTTACATATGACAAATCATACGAATTGTACAAAAAGTTCTTACATATGACATTGAAACCAACAAAATAGTTAGTTTTGATTTGAAAAGAAAAAAACAAAGAATATATATATATTTTTTTTTTTTTTTTTTTCAAACTTAAAATCAACAAGTCAAAAACAAGGAATTAACTAAATTAAATTTGACTTTGAAGTAAACAGTAAACATATAAAATCTTTACTATTATTTTAAGATAGTTGTATAATTTAGTACAATTTTGATGCAGTTGCAACAATTGTGTAATTACTTCCAAAAATGCCCCGTTTCACATGGGGTTTTTAATATGGTAGTAATACTGGAAACTGTGAAACATAATTGTTAATATAATCAAATCAGAAATTACTATTCTTTAAGTACAAATTTATATGCTTATTGGATACTTACATTTTTATTGCAACGTTCTTATCTTTTTTTATTTCTTCTTATCTTCTGTGTGTCATGAAAATGTAAAACTTAAAGCAATACTTATTTAATAAACATTCAAGTCACTTATTAACACTATGACTATGTCCTTAAATACTACTACTACTGCCACTACCAGTTTATATATCTATTATTAATTCAGATTTATCCCATAATATTTATCTCAGACTTATTTATATCACACTGCAGATATTTATTTCAACACCAGATGCTGGGATAATAAATTATGCACACTACTAGGCACTACATACAAGCAACTTAATCAAAATGACAAGCTGTACTCCTGCTAGTAGTGAATTTTCCCACCTCTTCTCGAATCATCCCATCTTTCTCAGAACTTCATCCCTGCTGTTCATTTCCTCTGTTGTGTCATTCTGGAATAGGGTCAGTGCTACTAACAATCAGCTGGAAATAGCCTTACATTATTAATTGGTAGATGTATTTTAGAGTATGTTAATCTTTCCGCCAATCTAAATTATAATAGCATTAATGAATTTAAAATATTTAGGTATGGTATTACGAGAGTCTGGCCACCCCTAATTTTATCCGCCCATATACTTATACATGCTGCACCTCCACTCAGAGGGTTAAGCCTCCTCCTCCTCTTCTTCTTCTTCTTCTTTTTTTTTTTTTTTTTTTTTTTTTGGTCATACTGAGGATTTTGAACTTTTTCCATTTTTCCATTAAGTGATTTGGATTTTAGACACAAGAAAAATGGAGTTCTTTCCTGTGATGAAACATAAATTTGATTTCATTTTATATTTATTATAGGCAAAGCAACTAGATACTGTGCTCAAGATACAGGATGGGAAGAACCAGATCTTTTCAAATGTACTTCCGAAACATTCTTAGAATTGGCTGATCAGGTATATGCTGAAATATAATGCTAGGAACTCCTTTTTGGCAATATTTTTTTTAATAAGAATTCCCATTTTGCTTTGTAGGCTGTCTGGCATAACATTTGATTTTTCATTTCAGCTTGCTGTTATTGAAAGAGATAAACTTCCTTTGAGCACATATCTTGCTGTGAAGATCTCATCAGACTTGCAAATTGCCACAAATGTTACTAAAAATTTATATGGTAGTGATATTTTAATTGTGGATCGAATGTTGTATCATGTGCTAAAGTACGAAACCCAGCAAGGTGGTCTCAATCTGACTCATAGGCAAGATAAAGATTTTATAGAAGTAAGTATGTTTATTTATATTCTCTGTTTTAAAGATCTTATTTTAATGTGTTATAAATGATCTTTTAGTTTACTGCTAATTATTGAATGTCTTAAAGTGGTTATTCACAGGTCACATTATTAGAGCTATGTTTGAAGCTTTTAAGTGTAAACTATTAAATTTAATGACTAATTTTACTTAAAAACTGTTTGTAATCAGAAATACTTGTATGAAGTCTATAAGAAATTTATATTTCTATCAAATAAAGTTCCAGTCTTCTTATATTGTTATTTTAATATTAAAAAAAAAATAATGTGAAGGAGTTAGAACTCATTTCATTGAACTCATGGACAAGGCTTATTTTGTTCTTACTCTGAAGTTAAAGTGAGGGTCAATTGAAGAAAATTTCTGTCATTTGGTATCGAAATCTTGATATTTAGTTATCTAAATTAGATCACCTGTAAACTTGTGTTGATGAAGGGCCTACTATGAGTGAAAAGATAGAGGAACTGTCTAATAATTTATTAAGCTGGCATCAAACACGGAAATGTTTGGATGGGACAGCTGCTTTATGTCAGTTTTGTGGTCTGTCACATGATAAAATACAGCAAACCTACTGTGGATTCCTAGGGTTACTATGTGAAGGAAAACAGGTATTCCATAATAATAACAGATATAAAGTTTTTATTCAGGCATTTGATTGGTTGAAATACAAACAATATGTAGCCTTGAATTTTTGTAAGAAGTAGTCTCTGAAAATATCTTCGTGAATTTCTCGTGAAAAGTAACAGAATTAAAGATAAGTCAATTTTATGAGAAGCAAATAAGGAATGACACTCATATAATATAATATCTGTTAATTAGTACATGATCTGGAAAAAGTTCAAAAATTGTAAAACAAGATTAACCTTTTCGCGACGGCGCACATTTGTTTAAAACGCTCGTGCGGGACGGAAGAGAATCGAAGGCAGTCACCGTACAGGACGGAGGTTTTGCATCGTTAAGCCTAATTTTATAACAAAAATCAGAAAAACAAAAGTTTCGCTTCTAGCATCATAATTTTTGGTATCATTTTAGATTATTACTTGAGCTCTTATATATGTTAAAATTAGCCCTTAAAACATTTATTTCTTTATTTTACATGGAAATATACTTAAAAATTGCTTATCTTCCATAATACTTTTCGGAAGAGCTATTCAAATTATTCTAAAGTTTTAATTGATAAAATCCATCAATAAAGTTTAAAATTATTAAAAAGAACACAATAAAGACTATTTACAGTAAGAAGTAACAAAATTTAAAATGAAAACGAGCGTGGTAAATTTCGAAGCACAGAGAAGTATCACCTTGTAACTCTTAGAAAAAGTATCACTTTTTAACTCCTTAGAAAATGAATCAGTACTCTCATTTGCGTTAGTAAATGGTTCACTAACCATACTAGGGTATTCTTCCTCTGATAAATAGCGTCTCCTTCCCGTCATAATAGACTGGAGGTGAGGCTTTCCTAAATAAAAAAGAAGGAACGGAAATATATCTGAAGGCAATGCAAAACGTAAAAAAACTCCGCACAGTAACCCTAAAAGACCGTACAAAGTAGAGGAAAAAAATAGAATAAAAAAGGAATTGGATATAAATCAGATACGAGAATGTTTTCATTAGCACGCAGCGATTTAAAGAGCCGAGCTGCGTTTGTTTACATTACGATTTCCCCCCTCCCCAGCCACAGCTGACAAGCAAAATACCAAAAACAGCCAGAATATAAACAATCTGAAGGTCAGAATACTAAAACTACGTTCAGTTTAAATGTAATGGACACAGAGTGCCATCTAGTGGCTATTAAAAATTGTTTCAGCTTAAAATGCATATCTGCACTGCCCGTTCACTTGGCCAGTTCTCCAGGAGTGCACGGGTGAACCGCCCGGGCCTCACATGCGTCCGTACGAAATGCATATATGATTCGCCCGTCGCGAAGAGGTTAAATTACAAATCAGAAAGAGATATGTCAGAGAAGAAAATAAATATTTATGTTAGGATGCCTCAGTGCTATTTGAAGAAAGTTAAAAGGGGAGAAAAAACAGAAAATTGATATTTCATACATAATTGCTTTTAAATCAGTCTTCTGCTATTTCTTTACTTACATAAGTATTCTGGCATTTTCTTATGACCTGATACTTTATTCTGCAGCGTGGCATACCCTTTCCTCAATTGAATTTGTTAAATGTTAGAAAAAGAAACTTGGAATAAAAATTTGTCTTAACCTATTTAGAAATTTATAGCTCACATTTTGAAAGTTTTGATTGTTTATTCTTCTTTTGCTAGTCATACAGAAATTTGCAGTTTTTTTTTTTTTTTTACGAACAACTCACTCTCATTTAGATTACAGTTTTTATATGAATGTTCATCTTGATAGTCTAACATCTAAGTGGCTGATTATTATTACTTTAGTATTTATATAATAATAAGGCAAGCTTTTCTGTTCACTTTTTGTCATTTTGATTAGGAAAGAATAAATTGTGTATTTAAAATACTCTTTTTTAGAGCCTTGTAGAATCTGCCAGCAAAATTCTAGAACCAAGATATACCTCCATGTGGGATAGAATTGCAACATTCACTGGTACTGGACCAGAGCATCTCATATTTATGTTTGAACAATATGCAAGAACTCTAATTCAGAACCAAGAAGATACATTTACAGAACCTTTTGAAGTTGCTTCTAAGAATATGGGTAAAAATTCCTTTCAGTTGTTAAACAGTAAAATTTCAGTTTTATTTAAAAAATTACCTGATGTAATTCTTGCAAATATATCTAAGTTTTCAATGTAATATGGTTGCAGTGTTTGGATTGGATACAGTTTCTGCATCAGAACTTTGGTGCCTTCCACCTGGTCAAGAAAATACAAATTTTGCAAATGCTTCTTTGTCTCCAGAAATGTCAAAATTTGTTGAAGTAATTGACATGGAAGAAGGTCCTTCGGTTTTGATCCCAAAATACAACAACTTCCCTGTGCGTCAAAAGTATATGGATGATGTTACAAGGGCTATTGTTCCATTGAAAAATCTCAATATCAAAGCTGGAAATGGTCGGGTTTTTTTTTTATAATATTGTTATTAAAATTAATAATGAATATTCTGGAACACTCAACTCCATTACTTCTCCAATGGCTTTTAGTCCTTGGAGAAGTAATCCAATCATTAATATATGATAAAAATGCCTTATAGATTTTATGCTGTTAAATGTTTTGATTACTTTTTCATAATTTTTATGTATCGTTTATAAATATTCTGATAAAAAAAAGGCAACAGGTCCATCTAATACCTTGAAACTGTAAATTTCTTATTAAGATTAAAACTTTTGTACTTTTATAGATTAAAACTATGCTTTCAGATCTCTAGATTTAAACTGAGAACTCTAGATTTAAACTAGTAATGGCTACTTATAGGTAAATTTTGAACTTTGGTTACAATAAACCAATGATATAAAGTATGTTGAACATCATTGTCCAGAGCTAAAGAAATTTTCTTTCTTAAATTCGTTCTTGATTTTGAAAGGACTTTAAAAGCATTTAATTTTTTGAAATTATTGATTATGTGTTTGGAGAAATTTCATGCTCTTTAAGTATTTTATTTCTCTTTCTTATTTTTTGTCTTATTTATGTATGATTTCAATATTTAAACTAATTATTGGAGGAGTTAAAACAGCAAGAATCAGCATAATATTCACAAATTTTAGACTTAAACCTTTGAAGTAGTCCAGCAAATTTATGAATATTATGCTAATTCTCCTTATTTTCACTCCTCCAATAATAATTATTTGACATGTTATTTTAAATCAAACTAATGTTAAATTTTTTTAATTTTAAATAAATTAAAAAATTTTCAAAATATTTGCTTTAAAAATGAATAGGTTTTTTTTTTTTCCCTCTCATATAATTGTTAGTATATAATAATGCAGATGAATTATAATAGGAATAAAATTTCAAAGTATAGTTTATTAGATACATAAATTGCTTAGCATCAAATAAAACATAGACATATTATATTTTGTTTGTGAAAAGTGTGCTAGGTTAGGGAAAGACAAAAAACTCTGGTCTTGTTTGATTCTGAAAGAAATCCATGTTTTCTTTTAAAATATGCTAACGTGTTTCTCTTTTTCAAAAGATAAAGAAAAGCAATTTTTTCATTTTTGTTTAAGGCCATGGTAATGAAAGGATGTAGAAGGAAAACAGACAATGTTTGCTAATGAAATTTAAACAAATAAAAAATTAATGAAGGAAATCATTATTTTCAGTCAATGAGTTATAAAACAGTTTCTGATTGGTAATAAATTCAACATTGCTTTTGAGTAAATTCATGGGAATTTAAATAAAACTAATTGAAGCTGTAAATTCACTTAATTAACTTTGTTCTAAAATATATTGTAGTTTCATGTAAATTATTTTGAGACTTATATGTGATATAATATTTATGATTCTTTAGATTTCAAGAAAGCCAAAGGTATGCAGATTTTTAAGGACAGCGGTGTTATTGCCTATGCTATTTATCCCACAGTTGGCCAGATGCTTCCAGACTTCTATGATATATCTGTCAGGTAAATTAGTTACAGTATACAAAAGTATACAAATTAAAATTTTGTGTTTAGAAATGATAGTCATTTGTAAAACACAGAATATAAGTTAAAAATTACCATTTTATATTAATGTTCTATTCTCTACATGTCAAATTCATTGCTAAATATAAATTAAATATTAGTTTTCTATAATAACATCAGTCTGTTTAATTTTCAATTAAAATTCCTTGCAGATTATATAAATTAATCCTTTGCATTCATTTATATTTATGGAGACTTCTAGTCAACTGGGAATTTTTTTTTTATATTCATTTCAGATGAAAACATTTTATGGGAACATATTGCACCTCAGTTTGCAGGTTAAGTAGATAAATTATTGCTGCCACCTTCACACACATTCCAATATTCTATTCCATTGAGAATGTAGTCTTGTATTACAATATCAATAAAATATTTTTTAAAATGGGTGAAAAGAACAAAAAAAGCGCTACCCTAAAAAACTTATAAGCAAAAATGATCCAAATAATTTTGAAAAAAAAATTATATTTTATACTTGTGTGTATACTTTATACTGCGTGGTATGATAGCATTCAAAACAGTCCCCAATTTATTATAGCCAGTATAATAGATTAGGGACTATAAACCAGCATAATAGCCAGTTATATATATTGCAAATATATATAGTTTCATATCCCCCAGCTTACTTTTGGTTAGAACATTCTGTGTAGTTCCTCTTTCTTCCCCAAAATTTAATGCAAATTTGTGGTTTGGTAAGATGTAGGATGACTACTATACAGTCAAAAGTCGTTAATCCGGACTCGTCGGGACTTCGGTGATTCTGGATTATCGATTTTTCCGGATTATAGATCATCAGTTTAAATCTCGAAAGATGGCATGCAGAAATTCTAAAATTAAAAATATGAAACCGTAATTTATGAAATAAAGTATAATTATGATCTAAAGGGTATCAAAATTTACAAAAAAAAAAAAAAGAAAAAAGAAAAAAAGCTTAATATTTATTTGTTTACTTTATTTAACATTTCTTTCAATGTAAGTTAAGTTGCTTCGTTTTATGTGATAATACTTTCTCTTTAATTCTATAAACAGACATAATTTCTTGTTCAGTTACAAAGTCCCGCTGTTCAAGTCCCATTAATTGCTGTGCCGAGAATACCGACTAACTTGTCAATCGAAATTTTTTCGTTTTTACTAACCTCTCTATCACATTCTTCATATCTTTATCCATTTTTTGCAGCAATTCCACTTTTTGTTTGTTGGACATCGAAACATACTTTCGTTTTGTAGATCCTTTGGAAGTTCCAGCATCGGAAATTTTATTTGACATAATCGAAAGTTTTCAAGTTTACTTTTATAAAATTGCTCTTACAGTCTGCAAAAAATAATAAGCGGGATCCAATTCGAAGTTTAAGGAACAACGCAATCATTAACATTAACTGAAATATATAATTAGATAATTTTAGCTTACACCGTCTGTTATACATTAAACGCGCAGGCAAAAACGTATTCTGCACTTGCGCACACGCATATGCGCAGTAGTCAAGGTCTTACGCGCACGCATAAAACGCCTGTGCGCATGTGCCAACGCGGCGCATGCGCAGAAAGTTTTTAGCTTTGAGGTCCAGATTATAGATCATTCCGGATTATGGGTGTCCGAATTAACGACTTTTGACTGTACTATATTGTGACATACAAGAGCGATGGTAAAGCATATTGTAATGGCATACAAGTCCAAAGGGTTAAAAAATAACTTTTTATAAATGTCAATTTGTAAAACTGTAGAATTTTTTAGAAAATATAAATTAAAATTAGGCATTCTGTAATAATCTGAGTAAGTAAAATCATATGAAATTCTTTCCAGAATATAAACTAAAGAATAACCTTGTACAATAACAATAGTATATATATATATATATATATATATATATTTTTTTCTGTAGACAGAGATTCGGGATCACTCTTTCTGCCAATACTCCCATGATGACCATCATAGCTCAACCAGCTAATAGCAGTACTCTTCTGGGAGAAAATTTATCTCAGAATTTCCGCTTCAGGTTTAGAATTCATGATGTGACTGATCATACAAGCCCACAGTGTGCTTACTGGGATTATTCTTTGGGGTATGGCATACATTCTTTTTAATTTATATGAATTTTAGACAGAAGTTTTTTATATCTATCTATAATTATTATGGCATATTGTAGTATAGAAAGTTTTCTGCTTGTAAAATAGATGTAATAGAATTTGGTTATTGTGCTTTTGTGAATTGATGGCACTTGGCAAATGTTCAGGATAAAGAAAACCTTCCAGATGTGGTTAGTAGGACCATGTAAAATTAAGATTCAAGTTTTCTGGCTAATTTTTTTTTTAACGTAAGATCAATTATTTGTAGATTTGTGTAGCTTTTATAACTCTTGCTATTTTTGTCTTATCTTGATGAAATTTTGTTTAATTATTTTCTGTATTTCAAAGGAAATTATAAGCTTAAGATTGATGTTAGCGTTGCCTCTTTGTTTTGTGATTCCATATATATTTGCTGGAGAGAAAAAAACTATTTTTGAAGAGGACTTTGTTTTTGGCAAGATAATGCCACTGTTGTCTGATGTTTATTCTTATAATCTTTAAAAGTACTCTTCAGATCATCTATTTAAAAATTTAATATGAGTTTATCACTACAGGTTGCATAAATTGCAAAAAGAATTAATTAATATAATTTAAATTCTAAGTATGGGAAATTTTATCTTTAAGTTCAAAATTGTGCAGATGAAATAAGTTTGTTCACATTTTAACTTTAATTCTTTTGAGATTATTATACAACTTTTGCACATAAGATTTACAAATTATTGTTCAATAAAATTACTTAATTCAGTATCCTTTTGGTACTTCCAAAAATACCATATACAGTGGTACCTCAACATACGAGTTTAATTCGTTCCGTAACCTTGCTCGTATGTCAAATTGCTTGTATCTCAAAGCAATTTTCCCCATTGAAATTAATTGAAATGCCATTAATCCGTTCCAGCTCCCAAAACACCACCTCAGTTGTTTTTGTTAAGTGCTTTTGAATAAGAAAAATGTATTTACAAGAAGAAACATTTATTTATAAATAACAAATACATATACTATAAAAACATAATTAAAAGAAAAAGTGAAGTGCTTACGGAAGCACTTAATTTTTGTCACCAGTCTTCGCCTTTTTGGTCATGCTTTGCTCATTTTCACCTACAGATCATTTAAAAAAACTGACCAGAAAGGTTTGTTTCTTCCTCCCTTTCAGGCTATTGCAGAAATGAGTTAGGCAAGTTTCGTTGAACAACTCCGATGCACACCCAGTTGCAACTTTTTCGAGGTGATAATTATTCATGAACTCTACAACTTTCTCCCACATTCCCAAGATCTCCTTTATATCTCTTGTAGGGATAACTTACTCTATCTCTGGCTCCTCTTCAAAACAAATTTTTCGTTGAACCACCGTATGCTGCTGCGAATGTAGATTGTGTAATTCCTCGGTTGTCAGCTCCTGAAACTGTTCCTCGACGAGTTCATTCACATCTCTCTCATCCACCTCCAAACCTATGTATTTTCCCAGAGAAACAATCTCCTCTACCACTCCGGGCTCCAATCCTTTGAAGGCCTTTTCAGCTCAGGCCACAATGCAGAGGTTAATTTCCTCATTTTAACACCCAGCCAGGCCTGATCAATAATTCTTAGACATATCACGATGTTAAAGTGGTCCTTCCAGAACTCTCGAAGGGTAAGGTTTGTGTTCTTCGTCACTTCAAAGCAGCGCTGAAAAATGTGCTTGGTGTACAACTTCTTAAAATTAGAAATCACCTGCTGATCCATGTGCTGCAGAATAGGAGTGGTGCTGGGTGGTAGGTAGAGAACCTTTATAAACTTGAAGTCTTCGAGATTTGGTGGGTGATCAGGGGCATTGTCAAGGACGAGAAGGACTTGCATGGGTAGGATGTTTTCCTGTAGATAATTTTTAACAGAAGGCCCAAACACCAGGTTTATCCACTCCACAAGGAATTTCCTGGTGACCCACGCCTTCGGATTTGCCCTCCACATAACTGGCAGTTTTTCTTTTAAAATCTTATGTGACTTAAAAGCTCTGGGATATTCTGAATGGTATACTAGCAGAGGCTTGATTTTGCAGTCGCCGCTCACATTAGCGCAAAGTGCTAATGCGAGTGGCAACTGCAGAATCAAGTTAATCTATCCTTCATGGGTTTGTGACCTGGCATCATCTGCTCCTCTGCCGTTATTTAAGTCCTATTCGGCATCCTTTTCCAGGAAAGCCCTGTCTCGTCACAGTTGAAGACTTGCTGGGGATTGTATCCTTTGGCTTCTATCAGTTCGGAAAATGTTTTGATGTAAACCTCAGCTGCCTTCACATCCGAAATTGCTGCCTCACCATGCCTGAGGAAGGAGTGAATACCGCTCCTTTTCCTAAAGTTGTCAAACCAGCCCCAACTGGCTTTAAGCGAGTCTTCTGATTCCTTGTTTGTGGAAGTGTATGTGATCTGCTTCAGCAAATCACCGTAAATCGCTCGGGTCTTCTCATATATGATGCTTTGTGTTAAGGTTCCTCCTTAAAGCTGCTTCTCTGTCACCCACACCATCAGTAGTTTCTTCATCTTTTCATGGAGAGAGGTCTAGAGCTTAGAAATTATTGTAATGCCCTTATCTGGCGTTATACCCTTTATCAATTCCTTCTGTTTAAGCACAGTACATATCATTGATGTGCTATTCCCGTACATCCTTGCCAAGTCAATTATTTGCACACCTTCCTCATGTTTTTCTATGATTTCATGCTTTAATTCAATAGACATCATCTTCTTCTTCGGACCCATGGTTATAAAAACAAATGTGATAATGTTTTGTAAATGTACAAAAAACGAAAACCCAACTTATCAAAAATGCTTCAAAAACGAGGGAAGCAAGCACCAGGGGCGTAGCTAGAGGGGGGACAAGGGGGGGCAGAATCCAAGTATGACATTTTAGAATTAAATGTTTTCCATCCTTGGCAAGCAGTAGGGGGCACGAAATCTTCAGTTGTCCCTGGGTGCTGAAAACCCTAGCTATGACTCTGACAAGCACACAGACTGAGGTCTAGTCTGAGGTGGGAGAAACTGTTAGACGCTGCACACAACACCAACATGCGCGCGCATGTTGCGGTCTTGTGCAGTGGTGTAGTATGTGATTCCTCGTATCTCAAATCTTGCTATCATCTCAAAGCAAAATATCGCTCGCTTGGCGGCTCATATCTCAAAACACTCGTATATTAAGGCATTTGTATATCGAGGTACCACTGTATTATGATTTTCTTCTAGAGGGAGTTTTAATAAATTCTTCCTACAGCAGAAAAGAGAAAAAAAATGGAGAATTGTGATGGCATTTTGATTATATTTACAGCTATTAAAGTTGTGTGTAAATGTAGCAAATTTCAACATATTTCAAAAGGTGGTTGTTATCATTATTTACGGTATTTTTTCTAGTCATTATTTTAACAAATTGCACCAGTTATTCATTACAATAATTTAGCACTCAGCAGAAAGCAGAAAAACATTGTAAATACATATACATTTTTTTTTTAAAAAACACGTTGATTTCCTGTTTGACTGCAAGTTTATAAAAAAATCTCCATCAGGCCACAAGCATGGTTATACCATATGCCAACTGTTTTTGATTGTAACAGAAAATAAGCGCTTTTAGAACAAAGCATTTCAGGACATGCATTTGGTTGAAAATCTTTGTTCAAGAAAGAAGTATTTAAGAAAGCGAATGAGATTTTGAAAATTATTTCTTCTTTTCAAATATTTGTTCTGTAGTGACAAATGGTAATTTTTTTTTTCATTAAAATTGTTTCCCTAATTTTTTTGGGTATCAAAAAAGAAATGGAAAAGTTATACCTTAGTGAAGGATATAGCAGTGAATAAGAAACCCTTTATGAGGCTTACAAAAATTCAGATATTAGCAATGAGGAAGAGCCAAGATTTTTCAGGAGAAATATAAATAGAATTACATTATTAATTTCTGATTTGGGTTCTGATAAATGCTGTGGAGAAGAATATGTTGTAGATATTATTGATCATATTTTACAAGAATTGTGTGTAGATTAAAAAAAAAAAAAATTGGTAAGAAGTACCATTCAGTTTAGGAAATGGATTGAATTTAATTGTTGGCAGCAAACATTTTCTTTTCTTTCTTTCACCATTCAATAATCATTTTTCAAATACCTCCTAATATACCTCATAAGTGTTCAAATAAGTGTCACCCAAATACAAATGATCAGACTCTTGGCTTAATCAGAATTTTTGCCATCATCTGATTATGGGTGATGCTTCAATCAATAAACCAGCTTTATGGGTTTGTGTCCCTTTTTATCTTGTGTAACAGACTTTAACACCAGATAGAACTCCATATGAAATCATTTCAATCAGTTTTAGCTGAAAATTATGATAGAGGTTATGTAATTTTAGTATTGTTTTGGAAAGCTTTTGTGAGCTTCTTTTCAATATGTTTAGAGTTAAGTGATCGCAGGTAACAGGTTCCAGATCGTATGTAAAACATACAATCTGGAATTTAATCGGCATTAAATTCTATCAGTTAAAGAAACCATGAACAGAGGCTGATCTTTTAAAATTTAGCCAAAAACAACAACAATAGTTTGGCATAGATTTGAATGAATCTATGCCAAACTATGATTTTGAGAGCAATGAAGACACAGATCCCCCTTTTTTAAGGAGCAAAAAGATTTTTGCTATATCTTTGCTCTTGTAGAAAGGACCTATGTCTGAAATCAACAGAGTTTTATTTAAAATGTGTACCAAAAAAACAGTTGCTTTTTTTGCTGAATTTTTAATTTTGCTTTTGTGTTTTTTTTTCTTCCAATTTGAGATGCTTATTTACTTGTAATCAATAAAAGCTGTATTTTGCAGTATTTAGGAGCACAGACATTGCATTACATAAGGAATTAAATTTAAAAATTGATTTGAGAGAATACTTTACAGAATTCTTTCAAGCAATCTAAGCCATTTTATTTCTGATTAATCTTAGTATTATACATCTCATTTAATTGATGCCCAATTTTTATATGATTCTTTTTTTCCCAGTTCAGTATTATATTTTAAATTTCATCACCATTATTGATTTGTTTTTAGTTAAAAGTAAAAATTGTATTGAAAAACAACCAACAATGGTAACTGATTTTTATTAAAATAATAAATGAATTTGCAGTTAAATAACATTAAATAAATGCCAAGAAAATACAAATACAGTACAAAGTCCGAAATCTGGACATTCAATATCCAGAATGATCTAAAATTCGGACCTCAAAACTCCCAACAAAGTTTTCCTCATATGCTTTACGCATGCACATTTGATTCCCCCCTCTGCGCATAATAAAACATCTGGAGAGCCCCGATTCTTAATTTCATTTAGACACTATCACTTAGACACTAACCTAATAACCTTATTATTGAAGAAACAATCATTTTAGCATAATAGCATAAATTTGTACCATCAGTAATTTGGCTGCGTATCTGCTTCCCACACATCTCAAACCGAAACATTTCACATAGATACATTGTTGATCTGATACCAACCTGGTGAATCATTATTTATTATACAGTAAAATTCCAGAAATCCACAAAGCTTTGGACCAGAGGTTGTGTGGATTTTAGGATTTCGCGGATTTCAGGATAAATCATAATATTCAGACTAAAATTGCAAAATAAATAAGGCATATTAGATACATTTAATTAAATTATTATATGCATTATTGCAATAAGTTATTATATGCATTAAATTATTATTACATATATAAATTGATTATATTATTCATTGTATTATAAACACAGCATCGAGGTTTGCCGATTTCACCTCATGCACAGATTTCCGGTTTCGGATTCCGGTGTTAGAATCACTGTTGCTGTAAAATTTCAACAGCTTTTCTTTATTTTTCCAAATATCATGCACAATCTTATTGGAGTTCCATACGATTCTGCTATAACCGAGGAGTAGCACCTATCTCCATCTTTTGCAGAACTTGCACTTTTTGCATTACCGTCAATGCAACATGTTTATGTTTTTCAACATTACAAGCAGTAAAATCATGAGTGCATTTCTTATCTGTAATTGTATTAAAAAGGGCTGAAATTTAAAATATTCTTAATTTTTCCACAAAATATCCGGATCAAAAAAAAAGGCAGCACTAAATAATCTCGTGAAATAACAAAGCTCAGAAAATACAACAACGTGAATCGTGAACTTGAAAGAAGACTTGAATGAATTGTCTGTTTTCTTATCTCGATGCAAATTAGAGGGGAAAAAACTTTTATCATGATGTGAATAATTTGTTATTTCCATTATGACTCATTATTATTTGGTAATTATGATGTCATTATTTGGTAAGAATTTTTTTTCCGATATTTCGGATTCAATGTTGCAGTTTCCGGAACCTATAAACTGAATGTTTATATTTTGAGAGGCAACACAAATTTCAGGAGTTGGCGGATTTCAGGTCGGCAGATTTTTGGTATTTGACTGTATTTTCCTTTCATCATCGCATGTTTATCAAAACTTGACAACTTGAGTAATGACTCATGTAGTTATGCCTAAAAAAATTTTTTATGTTAGTAATTTAATAATAAAGGAACCTTTTATGTTAACAATACCTTGCTGATTATTATAAATTTAAGTTAAACGCACTAAAAAAGTGTTGACGAGGAAAAATTTGCCAAAAATTTCTTTCCATATGCTAAAAATAGATTTTGCTGATGGTACTCATAGACACAAAGATTACATTTAGGGCTATTTGAATTAAGAATAACCGATTTGTTATTCACATAAACCCAGAACCAGCACCAGGGCTCATATGGTCGCAGCGAGTAGCAGAATTTAGGACCCACAGAGACTGCATCAGGTGGTAAGATATCTAGCACTGGCCCTCAATAAGACTTAAGTATATGTGGGAATTTATTTATTCAGAACTCTGATAAGCCTTAAGCATGTGCAAGAAATATACGTAAGTATAATAAATAACTAAACTAATATAATTCAGGCTTAATTGTCTCAGTGTGGGATGAAACAAGATAAAATTTAACGGAACAACTTGTCATTAGTTGCCAAGCGCATGATGCATAGTCAAATATGTATTGTGAAAGATAGCTAAATTTGATTGTGATAGCTGCTAATTTTAAAGGTTTTCGGATATCGCAAAACAAAGGTGAAATTTTCCAATTAACAGATTTCTTAAAGAAATGTAGAGAAGCGGTAATAAATGAAGTTGATATAAAAGAAGTGAAGAAAATGACAGAGAAGTTGCTGAAAATGAGAAAATTTCAATTGACAAGTTAGTGGGAATTCTCAAAACAGCAGTTACAGGACTTCAACAATGCAACTGAACAAGAGATTATGTCTGTCTACAGAATTAAAGAGAACGTATTAGCACAAAAAATGAAGCAACTCAAACAACTTTCATTGAAAGAAATGTTTAATAAGGTAAACAAATAAATATTGAGTTTTTTTTTTTTTTTTTTTTAAATTCTGATACCCTTTAATACTTCATTATTTCATAAATCCTGATTTCATATTTTTAATTTTATAATTTCTACATGCCATCTTACTAGATTTAAACTGATGATCTATTATCTGGAAAAATCCCATATCCAGAATCCCCAAAGTCCGCCTGAGCTCGAATTTCAGACTTTGTACTGTATACTCATTTTTGCAAATTAATTTTTTTTCTTTCTCATATGAAACATGTAAAATCTTAAAACTACAAATATGAAATCACTGAAGTATAGTTATATGTATATAACATGAGAATATAAACATGTTATTTAATTCTATATGGGGATTTTTTAAAGTATAATTAAATACTGGCAGTTGAATTTTGATTTAATTACAATCAAATGCAGTGAAAAGATAATTAGCTTTAACTAATGATTGAAAAGCAAAATGATAGTATAAAGATAATTAGCTTTAATCATAACTGTAGTAAGATAATTATTAAATATTAATATAAATATTTTAAATAGTATGAACAATTAAATATGCCATTAATGATTTTATATAACATGCATAATTTTATAGTTACAGTTATATATATTATAATTTGTATAAAGTTAGTCTAAGATTACTTTATAGTAATTATAATTTATAGTGTACAATAAATAAAACTCAAGAATGGGGAGCGTAATCTACAAAATTTTAGCATATCATTGAAATTCATTGAAACATATTTGTATATTGAAAGATCTAGCTGAAAATTTTTATTTTATGGCGAATTTGATGAAGTGAAATAAAAGATTTTTATGTAAAGCATTTGTCTATTTTTATAATTTTGTAGTAATATTTTACAGTCTGTGTATTAACCAAATTTGAAACTATTTTTGCATAGATCTAGAGGCAAATGGTCAACAGAGGGTTGTAGTACCATAGGAACTAACTACGTTAGTGTTCTCGGAGTTCAGCCCTACGTAAATTGTTCTTGTTCACATCTGTCAACTTTTGGTGTATTAATGGACATCACAGATAAAGAAGTAAGTATGATAAAAATTCCATTCAGAAGTTTTGCAAATTAGTGATCATGTTTTGTAATTCTGAGAATTTTTCAAAAATAAGTATTTCAATATCTTTATATAAATGACACTTGTACACAAGATGCATGTGGTAATTATCTTTACAAATAACACAAAATTAAGGAAAAGTGGTTTGTAACATTACTATTCTATTTGTATGCAAATCATCTTCTCAAGCAATGACTTACTCAGTCAACAACAACAAAAGAAAAAATACTGAACGAGTGTTACAAGGTCACTGTAATGATAATGCATGCCTAAAGCACCAAGAAGAGAAAACGTGAAGTAATTTTGGAGATAAACTGTTTAAAGACACAACATGCCCTCGGCAATGTCCTCGGCTTACTTCAATAATTTCGTACAATAGTATTCATAACATACAAAATTTTACAATTAGAACCTTATACAATATAGCAATACAATACTCAATTCCCAATACGAAATTTTATGTAGAATGCAACAAGTTTTATAATTATGAGCTAACATAATTAACTAAGCAACTTTCCTCCTGGGGCAGTATTGCAGTTTTTGTAATTCCACACTTAAGGATGGCTCTTGTTGTTCAAATATCTATTATGCTAACCTTACCAACAACTTTAACAAAGTAACATGTTATTTTATTTCTGCTGTGAGATTTTAATATTAGGCATAACAACAATCTTATTCTGGCATAAATTTTGAGCACTAGAGAAAGCAAAATTTTTTAGTTAATGGAATTTGAGAAGAAATATGTAGAAGTGATTATAAATGTAGATGATGCTATAGAAGTTTAAAATAAAAAGATTTCAGTTAACGGTATCATGAGAATTCTTGACATGGCAATTACAGGACTTCAAGAGTGGGACTTTATAATTTAGCAATAAATTGTATCTGCCTATAAAATTAAAGAGAAAATATTAGCACACGCCGTATCAAAACCAACAAATACCGAGCCTTTTTCTAAATTTTGATTCCCTTGAGATCATACATAGTTTATTATTGCATAAATATCTTTCATATTTTTACTTTTATAATTTCTTCTTGTTATTGTATTAGATAAACTCATAATTTGAAATTACCAGAGCCATAATGATTCTGGATCTTGGACTTTATACTGGTTTCCAATACTATTACAGTCAAAAGTCTTTAATCCGGATGTCCATAATCTGGAATGATCTATAATCCGGACCTGGAAGCTACAAACTTTCTGCACATGCATAAACGCATAATGCATTTACGCATGCACATATGCATATTACATATACGCATATGCATTTTTGCATGCACATAATACGTTTACGCATGTGCGTTTAATGTATAATGGACGGTATAAGCTAAGCTAAAATTAGCTAATTATCTATTTCAGTTAATGTTGCAGATTGCATTATTCCTTAATCTTCTAATTGGATCTGGCTTATTATTTTTTGCAGACTGTTAGAGCAATTTTATAAAAGTAAGCTTGAACTTTCATTTATGTCAAAAAGAATTTCCGATTCTGGAGCTGCCCAAAGGATCTCAAAGCGAAAGCATGTTTCGATGTCCATCAAACAAAAAGTGGAATTGCTGCAAAAAATGGATAAAGGCATATCCTTTGTTTATCTAACCATTCCGAAATCTGTTTATCAATTTCACGCTGTTCTGCGAGGGGGGGGCAATGAACTGGAAGTTGATCTGTCAGCACTATCCTTATCTCAGAGCAGCACTATCCTTATCTCAGGGCAGATTTTTTTATTTTATTTGGCTTATAATTCCTTTCTAAATGTAGTATTTCGTCTTGATGTACTCCATCTTTGATATGATTTAAATCAAATTCCTTGTCATTATAAATATCACGAATACACATCAAATAGTTTTCTGATTGCAATTTTCTAATTTCAACTATGCATAGTAATATATGCTTTATGCATGCACGTGTTGAAAAAAAAAAAAAAAAAAAAAAAAAAAAAAAAAAAAAAAAAAAAAGAAATGTTTAATAAAGTAAAGAAATAAATATTAAGCTTTGCTTTTTTTGTAAATTTTGATACTCTTTAGAGCATAATTGCTCTTTATTTCATAAACTACGGTTTCATATTTTTAATTTTATAATTTCTGCATGCTATCTTACCATATTTAAATTGATGACCTATAATCTGGAAAAACTGATAATCCAGAATTGCTGAAGTCCCAATGAGTCCGGATTAAAGACTTTTGACTGTATTATATTCATCAATATTATCATGACACCCAGAATATAAAATCCAATCAGTTATCTTGCCATCTCATAGGCAAAAGAATGGATATACTTTGTCCAATCCATCACATTCATTCTCCTCATACAAAAATTTAATGCAGCCTGTGTATCTATCATAGCATATGTTGCTGCTGCTTCTCAGCCATGCAGTCAGCACCAGAATTTAAATTCATGCCCTCCCCCCAAAGCTATCTCTAATACTTTTTCATACATAAATATCGCAAACATATCAACTTATTTAAATTAACACTTTAATTATGGGGCATACCAGTTGTCTCTGTTTGTAGAGCCTGTCTCTGTTTGTTTGTAGTTTATCCCATACAGCTTGCCTGTGTTTGTTTGTGGTTTATCCCATCTAATCAACAGTAGCATGAGATCAGGTCCATGAACCCATGGTTCAAAGCCCCGAAGAACAACTCTAGGACAGGAGAGCAGTTAGCTCCTCTGGCAACCAATGCAAGACAAGATATGGTCAGCAGTGGATTGGGTCAAGTTGCATTTTGGTCATATGGGATAGACTTTAATGCCCAACACAAAATGTAGAGTGTGCAAATGATCATTTGCTTGCCTCAGTTAAGGAGCATCAAGGTGGTTACCAACATGCCACTCTGTGGAAGCTTTTCTCCAAAATGAGTTGATTTCAAACTTACCTGTGAGGCAAGTTTTGAGAAGGAAAGGTGGCCATCATCAGGAGAATCCTTAAAGCTGTCCTCCCTAGCTAGTCCATCTGCTATCTCAATACCACAAACCTGAAAATACCCATTGAAAAAGTATCTTATTAAGGACACACAAGCAACCCAAATGCTGGACAGTATTCATGGTAGTTCTGTCTCTATGTTTCCACCACACAGCCAAGTGCAGTATAGAGTTTTGGTTATCGCTCAGAATCCAATGTTATTAGTGACTCTGTCATTGACACAATAACTCGAGGCTTCATCAATAGCAATGATTTCTGCCCAAAAAATGGAGCTGTAGTCAGAGTTTTTCCTACAAATCCTAATTCAGTTACCCTGCCTGATAAATATTCCATTACTTGAGAAAGCACCATCACCCCTGTTACTGTCAGTATAAATCTGTAGTGCAGTCACTGGGAATTTGGTGAATAGCTCCAAAACCACCTGCCTAAGATTATCCTAAGAATGCTGTATACCTTTTTTAGTATAAGAGCAAAGTTTGGTCTTAATGGAAACTCTATCGATAAACGTCACAGCAAACTTCAAGCAGCAGGCCAGAGAGACATGTTCAACTTCACTTCGCAGCCATCTATCATTTCAGCATGGCTGAGTGAGCTTTCTCTCTTAAGACAATGATTGTTGTCCAGTTACATACAGATCTAGAGGTTCTATGCTGATCACTATAACTTGGAAAGCCACGTCTTCAATGGGGGCCAAATCTGGCTTTATTATTTTTTTTTAACGTTTGTTATGAAATTTTTTAGCATTTTACATTTCTACTGTATTCTATAATATTAATAAATATATTTGTGTACAGTATAATTTATGAACTTGTTTACAGTATTTCATGGAAGAATCAACAGCTCAGGATGTTGTGTCCTATTTGGGGATAGTAATTTCACTGCTGATGCTGCTGGCAGCCTTCCTTATCTTCTGCCTTCTGAGGGGACCTCAGACAAATAGCAACAATATCCATAAAAATCTAGTGGCATGTATTTTCATTGCACAGTTGTTGTTTCTCATAGCTCTCAAGCTGAGGCGACCTTTGGTGCAAAGAGAAGTAAGTGTCTTGAGCTCTTTATATTTCTATGTTCATTGGCTTCATCTTAATTTTCCTAAGGCAGTTAATAAAGAAAAGCTAGGCCAGAAATATCAAAAACCTTATTCTATTTATGATAGAAAATTCAGCAAGATTTAACTTTTAAATCCAAAAGATTAAACTTGATTCAGAAACAAAGAATTTTTGATCCGAGTATATTATTCTTGAAAAATAATTTGTGGATGAAGACTATGCATGATTCAAAGAAAACCTTTCAATTTAATTAAAAATTTTTGAAAACTGAAAATGTCCTGCCGTTTTTGTGAGATACCATATATGCCAAGACTTGGACTTTTCAACCCTCAAATCCTATGTAACTTGATTTGTATTTTAGATTCAGAAGCTCAGATCTTTACCTTTTTTCATCATTCAAGTCTTTCATGCTCTAAAATGCTGCTAAATATTTTAAATCAAGACTTGAAAAATTACTTTTTTGACACTCAGTAGATGCATTCAGTAAAAAAAATCAAATGTATTTTTTATTTTCTTTTTTCTGGGGTAAAGAATTTAGTAATGGAGGGAAAAAAACACCTTGTGATTTTCTTAAACTTTTGGAAAGGTATTTATATTGAATGTTTACCTGCCTTAACTTTGGTAATAATTCTTACCACTCTGCTGTTGCTTTGATTTAAAATGTTTGTGGACAATGTTAAAATTTTAAAATTCTTTCTTCAAATTTTGTGTTTGCAGAATTGCTAGGCTTTTTGCTACTCTTAAATTTTATTATACTGGCTCTGTCTGTTTTTATCTTCTTGTTAAATATATGTGCAGTATTGAAAAATGTGTTCTTAAATTTGTTTTCCATTAAATGCAGATTTTAAGTTTCATACTCTTAAATTAAACTTTTAATAATAATTTTTCTTTCTACTTCTTCTACCTATTGTGGTATGAAATGTTCAAGAGATTCAAGAGACTTTTTAGGATTTAGGTTAAACTTAAAATTTATCCCACATTTAATGCATGCAATATGATGATTATAGTACAATTGTGTAATTTTATATACCTTTTGCTTTCAAGATTAGATATTAATGAAGTTCTGAGGTTTTTCTTCATTTAATCAGCACTGTTGGTAAAAGTGCATTACAATGGTCTTATTGCATTAAGTAATTTGTAGTGACTGACAATATTTTCCTAGAAATATATGCTTCAATTTTTTTTTTTTTTTATTTTAGTTTCCCTGTAAAGTGGTGGCTATCATGTTGCACTACATGTTCTTGTGTGTGTTTTCCTGGATGTTCCTTGAAGCTGTTCACATATATAGAATGCTTACTGAAATGAGAGATATTAATCACGGACAGATGCGGTTTTACTATTCAATTGGATATGGTAGATTTCTTTTATTATCTAAAAATATGCAACTAGAAGTTAAAAATTAACTTTAAATGACACTAATGTTTGTTGTTTAATGGAATTTTATTAAAAATAATGAACATTAACAAATAAATAATCCAGATAAAAATGTATTTAATTTATTGTTATCTTATGTTAAAAATAGACATTTTAGTCTTAATTTGTGTCATAACTAAATATACCTCTAAAGAACATGTATCCTTAAAATGATTTTAACCATCATACTATTATTTTAACTACTGAAAAGAAAGACAAAAATTTTTCTTTCAAGAAACTTTCTATCTTTTATTGAAAATAATTTTCCTGCATAAAATATTGATTAGTACAAATAATATATATGCTTTACAAATTTAGAGCATGCCTGTGATACTATTCTAAACCAAAATGATATAAAACAAAGAAGCAATTACCATTAATTTGCATGGTAAAATTTTTTAAATTTTCTTAGAGATGTTAAAACCTGCCAAATCCTTACTAACTAATGCATAAAACTTAAAAACAACATTAGGAGTTAGAATGATTTGATAAATAAACAGCCTATATAAATAAAAATAGCATACATAATTTTATTTTATCTTCCAAAAGTGAGACAGTTGAATACACTGGAAGGTTTACAGGCAGTGGCAGTGACAATGGTGCATGGAATCATTAGAAATTAGGTAGTGGAAATACATGGACTATCTAAGTGAGAGTAGTGATGTATCATGTATCCAAGTGCTGAGTTATCTCATATTCCTTCTTCTTTTTATGTTATTAAAAATTAAGATTTATATTTCTCACTAGCATAAAGTAAATAGCATAAAGTAAAAATAAATTTTTATAAGTGTTATATATTAGTAATTTTATAAACTTTTACAACTGATATGCTGTTATCTAGCCATTTGCATATAGAGTAATGTATGGATTTATCCATTTGGTTGTCTTGTTTCTAATTATTTTTTAGTGAATTTCATTTCAAAATATTTTTCATAAGAATTCATCCATTCTGCATTATTTCTGTATCAATATGAGTATTATATTTTTGAAAAACATTTCTAAGAAATGAAGCTATTGGACTTCCTAACAAGATTTGTCATGGAATGTTTAGGAGTGGATGAGTTTATGAACAAAACAGGACATGCAACATTTTACCCCCACAACAAAGCATATAAACTGAAATGCTTGTACTTAACAAATTGAAATCATAATATATTTACCTGAGAGTTATAAAGACCATTGTGTGAAGAGGGGATGCCTAGTAGATTGAATATGCACTACATAGCTGTGGTTGTTGTTTGAAAAGTGTGATACAGAACGCAGGCCTACTTCATTATTAGCAAGTAGTGTTCTGGAGTAATAAGTGTGTTGTGTAATTAGCCAAATAGCTTACAATCCTCATGTGTACAAATATTAGTGATGGGGGATGTAGAAGTACCTGACAGACAACATGGTTCTACATTGACAAGCAACTTTGTATGGAAATTGTTTACCCTGTTATAGCAACAAAATTCACAGCAGGCGTTGCCCTTAGATAAGCCAAAGAAAGTGTGGCAAATTATCATGGCTGTTAACATGGTAGCATACGGAACAGGAAATGGCACGATTTTCCCAGCTTCTGTATACCAAATTTCAGAAAGCATATAACACAGAATTCATTATTCCCTTATGGAGAAAGCATCTTGAGTGAACAAAAGCTGCTGTAGCTGTCTGAGTGTGCATCCCCAGTTTTAGACCCCAGAACATATTTCTTTCACCACTTAAAGCATCCCTTCCATTCTGAACATAAAACTTAACCATCCCTGACATTTGCAATGTTTCAGTCTGTGAGCCACTTCTGTGATTGTGATGCATGCATCAACTATGCTTTCAGCACTTTACCATGTGATGGAATGATGCACATGTATGGTATGTGTAAATTTATGTTGAGAAAAATTTTTAATTTTATGTTTGGGTATTGTTGGTACTGGAATGCTTTATACATTATGTTCCCCAGCCTGTAGTTGGAAATATCCACAAGCGCACGCCTTGCTTTATATGCCCTTCTCTGGAGACTAAAAGCAATTATGAAATGTTACACATCACTCTTGTCATTTTGTTTGTGTGCTTATCTGCCTTTGAAAGTTTTAAGGTGATTGTCGTCAGGATATCTGATAACTTTTTTGTGAGAACTTTATTTAACTCACTTTAGTTTTTTTTAAAGTAACTAAATTGGTCACCCATATTTATACTAATTTCAAAGTACTTTCAATTTGCTTTCAATTTGGAGAGTGAAAGAAGCTTTTGTTGGTGGCATTATTCATCAAGTCGAATATTGTCCACCATTTGAAGCACATTTTTCATCAACTAGAGGTAACCTGTAAACTCTTGTCTGCCAATCAGCATAAACCATCAGACCAAAAGTGTGTACAAAATTTGAAGACAAATCGGGAATATTTTCTGTGTGTAGTACGTTGCTACCTTATTTCCACTTCAAGTGAGTGGTTTTATTACACTATGCAATTGCTAACAATCCCATTGTGGCATTAGGCATGAGCAAATATCATTTTATTAATAGTGTTACGAATTTGGTATTTAAAAAGCTAATATTAGTTCAATTATAAATTAATTGGTTTTATTTCTCACGCAGTGCAGCGCGTGACGAATATTAAAAGAAAGCTAAGCCGGAAAATTGAAAGTAAAAGAGCGCGTGCATTAAATAAATAAATATCTCTTTTTGATTTCGAGAAAGTACTGGAAAATTCTAGCGCGTGATTTTAAAATCTTATAAAAGGAGGAAAACATCTCAGTTTGTAGTAGTAGATGCTTAGTTTGTTGTTGTTTAGAAAACTGCTCTTGTTGATTGTAGCGAATTCGCGGATTAGCGTTCTTTAGCTGTTTTGAATTACGTTCTATTGGACATTTGAGTAGTTAAAAGAGATAACTACTGTGAGATATTGTAATACTGCATGATAATTTGAGAAAATTTAAGCATTTTTGTTGTGATAATAAAAATTTTTGTTCATTTTTCATCGGACTTGTGCATTCATTTCATAACGAACCCGTACGCACGCAACAATTTTTGGTGTCAGCGGTGGGATTTGAATGCCAATAACAAGAGCGATGGAAGAGCAATTAAGGCAGTTAATATCAGCCTTTGCCTCATTTAAAGAAGAAATGAAATTGGGCCAGGAATCCGTTAAGGACGAAATGAAAGCCGTTCAAGCTGGTCAAGAAAAGAATTGAAGCATGTCAAGAAGAAATGAAAAGAGAAATTACCTGCATAATAGAAAATAAATTTGAAGCTATGGAAGGCAGAATTGGACACAGTTGAAAATAAAGTTGGACAAATTGAAGAAAAAGTTTCTTTCGTAAAAGATCAAATTGAAGAAAGAGTTTCTTCGGTGAAAGAAGAAATAGAAAAAAAGTTTCTTCTGTAAAAGAACATATAGAAGGGAGAGTTCGGCTGTGGAGGAACAACTTGAAGGAAGAGTTTGTGCCGTCCAACACCAAATCGAACAACAAATTGATGAGAGAGTTTCTGCAGTTGCCAAAGAAATGGAAACTTTAAAGAAATTCGTAGCGACGGCAGGGAGCAAGAGTGATGATTTTAAATTCTTACCGATGCCTGCTCGTCCATCTCTGAAGCTATCCACATATGATGGGAAGACATCCTGGCAAGTGTATAAGACCCAGTTTTCTATCGTTGCGGATGCGAATGGATGGGATTCCCAAGCTAAGGCCTGTCATCTCGCCGCTTCTTTAAGAGCAGACGCAGCGGATATCCTGCAGACTCTTCCCGAAAACAAAAGGTTAGATTTCGAAGCTCTGTCCGGCGCCTTGGAGCTGCGCTTTGGCGAGAAATGTTTAAAAGACTACAGCAGGCTTCAATTAAAATCCGCATCAACAGAAGCCCACCGAATCACTTCAGGAGCTCGCCACGGATGTTGAAAGGCTGTCACATCACGCCTTTTCGGAGTGCCCGACAGAAACAAGGGAAATCCTGTCCCTGCAATATTTCATCGATGGCATCCGGATCCCGAAATACAGAAGGCCCTACGAATGGCAGATGTAAAGGATGTAAAAAGCGCTCTGTTGTACGCCGTGAAATTGGAGGCAGCCCCCAGCAAGCAACTCTTAGAGATCGCTACCCAGTCAGAGCTGTGCGAGTCCACGACCCAGGGGACCAATTGATGGCTCGTTTAGATGATTTATCCAGACATGTCGATGCTTTGATACAGAGTAGCAGTGAGAACAAAGTGGCTGTAAGATGTTGGAGATGTGGTTCTGAAGGTCACCTACGACGGCATTGCAGAACACCCCAGGGCATGGATAATAAAACGGATGAGTTGACAAGACCAGTGAATGCTTTAAGACGGAATAGTGGTGAAACGAAACCGACTCTAAAGTGCTGGACTTGCGGTGTTGAAGGCCACCTACGAAGGAACTGCAGAACTCCTCAGAGCACGGAAAATAAGGCATACGATTTAAGCAGACAATTAAATGCCACGGGAAGGAAAAGGACTGACAAGAAACCAAAGTGCTGGAACTGTGGAGCTGAAGGCCACGTACGAAAGAATTGCAGAACACCCCAGGGTACGAAAATTAAGACAATTTCTGAGCAACGACGCAGGAAACAAATTAATGACCATATCAAGGAACGGAGGTTGCCAGATAATGAAAAACCTTGTTTTAAAGCGCTTAAAATTTATACAATGAGTGGCAACAGTAACGGAATGTCCATTAATGGGAATATCGATGGAGTTCCTTGCGATATGATTGATCATTGACACAGGAGCTAATGTTACCATCATTAGGAAAGATTTAGCTGAACAGTTTAAAGGTAAACTTATTTGGACGCCATCCTGTGTTACCCTTCAGACTGCGTCTGGTGATAAGATCGACATAACTGGGAAGTTAAACGTAAACATCACGTTTGGAAGTGCCGCCTACCATCACACGGCTTATGTGGCGGATATCACAGATCCATGCATACTCGGATTGGACTTTTTAAGGAAATACAATTTTTCCTTAGATTTCAAAAACAATAAGCTGCTTTCAGCATCTGATGGCATGACTATCCATCCTCAAAAGGGATCCTCGCCTGGAAATGTCGATGCCTTGTCCGAAAGATCGACCTCGGGAAGCTGCCGAAATCATACCAGGGTCGAAAAGAAACTCAAGACTACCAGCTATTCTCCATCCCAGAAGCTCTTCGGCCGAGACCTTCGTCTGCCTTGTGACCGCCTGTTTAGTCGCCCTACCTACGGATGCGCCTTCATCGCCTGAGGAACACATCCAAGATGCTTAGGCCCGGTTTGAGGGGATGCACCGTTCTGCACGAAAGCGAGTCAACTTGGCGACGGAGAAAATGAAGACCAGATGCGACACAAGAGCTACTAGACAGAGATCCAACAAAGGAGACAAGGTGTGGTTGTGGAACCCTATTCAACGAAAAGGACTGAGTCCTAAATTACAGTCACCTTCGGATGGTCCATATACAGTGCTGAACACGAATGACGTCGTGGTTCGGATCCGTTAGTCTTCGAACTCTTACGACAGGTTAGCTTATTACTATGGCCATAGTACATAATGTAAATAATTGTAAATAGTATAAGACCATGGTCCATTTTGTTTTTAAATGCGTCTTTGATTTGATTTGTATTTAGTATTTGATTTGCATTTAGTATTTGATTTGAATTTGATAGCATTTTATTTGTTTTATGTATTGCATTTATTGTTCATGTTGTTTATTATTGTAATGTAATGCTTATTAATGCATTTATGCCACAGTTGTAAATTTAGCTTCCTGTCTAGGGATTGTACTGCCCGGGACGTGCAGTCCTTGGGAAGGGGGCAGTGTTACGAATTTGGTATTTAAAAAGCTAATATTAGTTCAATTATAAATTAATTGGTTTTATTTCTCGCGCAGTGCAGCGCATGACGAACATTAAAAGAAAGCTAAGCCGGAAAATTGAAAGTACAAGAGCGCGTGCATTAAATAAATAAATATCTCTTTTTGATTTCGAGAAAGTACTGGAAAATTCTAGCGCGTGATTTTAAAATCTTATAAAAGGAGGAAAACATCTCAGTTTGTAGTAGTAGATGCTTAGTTTGTTGTTGTTTAGAAAACTGCTCTTGTTGATTGTAGCGAATTCGCGGATTAGCGTTCTTTAGCTGTTTTGAATTACGTTCTATTGGACATTTGAGTAGTTAAAAGATAACTACTGTGAGATATTGTAATACTGCATGATAATTTGAGAAAATTTAAGCATTTTTGTTGTGATAATAAAAAATTTTTGTTCATTTTTCATCGGACTTGTGCATTCATTTCATAACAAACCCGTACGCACGCAACAATAGATATATACAAATTCTGCTGAATTAAAAGTCTGAAGGTGTGGCAAAATAAGTAATATTTTTCAAAGTTCAGCTCTAAACAAGAAGATAGCATTAGTATTCAACTGGCACCACCATTGCAAAGCTTTTTGTGCTTTACATCATATTCTTTTTCCCCCCAATATAAAGTCCTCCCAAATCAAGCAGATTTTTCTAATTCTGTACCTTTTCTGGAATTGTCATAGAAACTGAAGTCTACCATATAGCTAAAGTCTTGGCATCAGGCAGTGAGACATATTGTATATAATGTGAATAATTCATTTATTATAAGGGGGAAATATGCTCATAATATATTCTAAAATCTGAAATATTATCCAAGAGTTTATTTATCATTGAATTAAATTATTCATTCGCATTACCTTTCTATGGACTCTGCAGCTATCCTAGCTGCAAAGCTAGCATGGAATTTCTTTTTGGGGGAGAAGCTTATCATCTGTGTACATCACATCACTTTGTGTAAAGTGTAAATGAATAACATCTTAACTTGATTAATATAATCTGATATTACTTTTCAGGTGCTCCAGCGATTGTTGTAGGTCTCTCAGTTGGTGTTAGAGCAGACCAATATGGGAATTATTTTTTGTGAGCATCCTTTTTCTTTTCTTTGATTATTGTTATTACAATGCTGTTTAAATTTTTTATTTCCTTTTGTAAACCCATGTATTGAAATTATGCAGCTCGAGCCCCTTTTTATAATTTAAATATTCAAAGTTATATAAGGAACTCAATGTTGGTTTCTTTATTTATTTCTGATTAATAAAGTAAAATAACATTTTAAAAAATATATTTATATAATCTATTATTATTAATATTTATCCTAATATATTCATATTAGGACAAATATTACTATTTGACAGCTTTAAAATACTATAATCTACAGTGATGTTTCTTTTCATTTAAATCCTCTAACATGAACTAGATTTAATTTAACGTTTTGAGATAGCTTCATGTGTTCAAAAACTAAGCCAGTGATTGACAGAATATTGTATAACTTTGTGAATCTGTCTTGCATTTGATTCCTGGTCAGATGCTGTCACATAAGTTGCAATCACGAACTGCCTGAATTCTAAATCATATACAGTAGTACCATTGTATGCATCATTCTAGATCAATGGATGTATACCAAACTTTTCTAAGAAGAAATAAGGGGAAAATAATTAATCTATTCTTATAAAGGTATCTTATTGTTGTTATTATAACTCTGTTTAATACTAAAATATAAATTCAGGGGTGAAATATGTGCTGTACATAAATGAAACGCTACAGATGATACTGCACATAAATGTTTTTCTGCTTTCAAGATTTAAAGCAATTTTTCAATGTGCTCCAACATCTCTAATCTTTGTTTGGTAATCGATTTCACCCCCTTTGTAAATTTAGCCAATTAAATAATGTCTTTTTTTATCATCATAAGCAGCATCATACTTAGAATATGGTGTGCAATAGCTGAGTCCCTGATATGCAAGCCATTTTCATATTTTTCAGCAATCTCTTTTTTCACCTCCACAGTAATCCTAGCCATTTTCTTTGTTGTCTGACTCTTCTCAGTAACTTGCTCAAAATTTATTGTTAATAAACTTTAAGTTACTCAAAAATTAGGAAAAAAAATAGTTCACCAGAAAATTCAGAATTACAGTGTACATTGTTTATTGAATAGTAGCAACAGGCATGTTGATGCTCATGGGCAGTCATGCATTGTTTTGAAAGGAGTAAACAGGTGTAGTGCACACAGTCATGACCTGAGTCATATTCCATGCAAGTATCATATATCAAACAAAACTTTTGCTTTGAACAGGACATATTTCAAAGTATCTGCATACTGAATTACCATTGTAATTTTTTTTTTTAAATAGTAAACATATTCTATGTCTTATAATCAGGTGAGCCCAAAAGTTCAGGTGAAGTGGAATTCCACTTGTTAAATTTGCCACTATTCCTGGCAACTAGTTTAATACCCTGCCCAAATAGCAGTTTCATGGCAGTATAAACAGTATGTAATATTGCAGTATAATTAGATTCCTTTAGAGCAGAGTTTCTTAAACTGTGGGTCATGACCCCCATGGAAGTCACAGGACCTGCAGCAGGGGGTCGCCAAAAATTTTAGCAGTTTTGATATTTCTTTAACTTATTATATTATAATAATTTTACAGTTACCAAATATTTTTACACAATGTATCTGAAAATAGATAAAGATAAGACAATACAGACAAAGAAAAAATTAAAACATTTTGACGTATTCTTTTTATAATATAAACGTTCATTTTACTTGCTTTGCACGTGATGCTGTCATTTTGTCTGTTACTTATTTAAATTTTTAATATTGTTCTATGTCTTAAAAATTTCCTGGGGGTTGTGAAAAAAATCTCAGTGATAAAAAAAGGGGCACAACTGAAAAAAGTTTAAAAAGTCATACTTTAGAGAGTCACCCATAAGAATTTTCAAATGTTTTCCACTAGAATTAAAATACAGTACAAAGTCTTTAATCCGGACATCCATAATCCGGAATGATCGATAATCGGACCTCAAAGCTACAAACTTTCTGCGCATGCGTAATGCGTTTACGCATGCGCATAATACCTTTATGTATGCGCGTTTAACGTATAATGAATGGTATAAACTAGGCTAAAATTATATAATTCAGTTAATGTTGCAGATTGTGTTGTTCCTTAATCTTCTAATTGGATCCGGCTTATTATTTTTTGCAGACTGTTACACCAATTTTATAAAAAGTAAGCTTCAACTTTCGATTATGTCAAAAAGCATTTCCGATTCTGGAGCTGCCAAAGGATCTACAAAGCGAAAGCATGTTTCGATGTACCGCTTCCGATAGCGAAGAAAGTGACAGAGAGGTTATTGAAAATGAAAAAATTTCCATTGACAAGTTACTCGGTATTCTCGACACAGCAATTACAGGATTTGAACAATGGAACTGAACAAAAAATTATGTCTGTTTATAGAATTAAAGAGAAAGTATTAGCACAAAAAATGAAGCAACTTAAACAACTTACATTGAAAGAAATGTTTAATAAAGTAAACAAATAAATATTAAGCTTTTTTTTTTTTTTTTTTTTTTTTGTAAATTTTGATATTTTTTAGATCATAATTGCTTTTTATTTCATAAATTACGGTTTAATATTTTTAATTTTATAATTTCTGCATGCCATCTTACCAGATTTATATTGATGATCTATAATTCGAAAAAAACCCTAATACGGAATCGCCGAAGTCCGGATTAAAGACTTTGTACTGTATTTACATCAAATATTCATAAAAATTCCTATAGAAAGCTAAAAATAGTAATCCGATTAGGTTCATAATAAAAGTTCTTTTGTATTTTAAAGTATTTTAATAGATTCACTTGGATTTAGCATGTTGCTTCATTACAGGATGTTTTATTTTATGATTACGATATTTGCAGTATGTTTTATTTATTAATGACTTTAAAAATAATATTGCTTTTGGTATGCAGATTTGTTTATATTTTTGTGTGTATACATTCTTAGGTATTTTTTATTATGTGCTTATTTATTTTGCATGATGACTAACCAAGCTTTTTCTATGTTAGACTCTTTAACAAGTGTAAAAAAGAATTTTGAAGTGAATTATTTAGTCATTATCATACAAAGTCAAAATTAATATTCTGCAGAGATTGTAAGGATTTATTTTAATCCATAAATTTTTTTCTTTAGATCTACTAAGAATCCTCTCAGAAAATAAATTTTATGGAAAATAATTGAAATTCTTTATTAAAAAATCTGATGTGGACACCACATGACTCTCATGTGCAGCCTGCTAAATTATATGCATTTTTGCCCTACTTCATTTAAACTTACTCCCTTGAATATTCTAACTTATACTGATCAGTTATTAACTATAGCTGAGCAGTATAAGTTGACTATAACTTAACTGATGCCTCAAAGTAAGGTGCAAATTACATCAAAAATTGAAAATTTTGAATTTAAATATCCAGGTCAATTTTTTTCGTACGGGAGTCAAACATCTGGTACTTTTATTTTTTTGTGGTGAGTATAAAACTTTCTCTAATATAAATATAGGAACTTGCAGCTTGCATTCAGTGTTAGATTTCATTATTTGTCCAAAACTAATTTTTCTTTAAATTTGACATTGCCAAAACCTGAATATTTTTATCATTTAAAACACTTTTGTACGACCAACAGTTGCAAAAATAAAAGCTGGGTAAGTGCGTATATAGTGCCGAGTGTAATGAAAAGGGGAGGTGTTAATTAAATTTAATGTAATTACTAGAAGTTATAGTAGTTCCATATACAAATTTCAGTCCGTATATGCATCACACAAAAATAGTCAAAATAGGTATTTCCTTTGAAATATGATGCCCAAAATTTTTCATGATTACAGTACTTCCTTTACTTCTCACAAGGAAGCAAAAATGTCCATTCAAATTTTTACATGATTGATATGCTTTATTTGTATATGTTCAAAGCATGTCAGGAAATTCAGTTTGTGTTATTAAATTTAAGCATAAAAGAATATTAAAACAACTTTTTTTTCTTCTGCAGTTGCTGGCTTTCTATTTATGAAAGTGTCGTATGGAGTCTTGTGGGACCTATCTGCTTTGTAGTTTTGGTAAGTAATTATAATGAATTGATGCAGTAAAGCCATTCAAGATTTCATGTTCGAACAACCATTTCTAGCTGTAGTTGGGTGATTTATATTATGTGCAGCATAAAGGAGTTTTCCAGAATAATTAAATAATATTTTAGACAATTCTAAAGTATACACTATGTATAAAGTATTTGTAGGTTTGTAGCACTGCAAATAGAATCTTTCAAAATGTTCTCATAAATAACTCTATAAGTGGAGTTACAGTCAACAAACTTTGATCAGTAGGAAATGAAATTAATTGTTCTCCGCAGTATTTTGATATCTTTGACATAGTTTTCATTAGGGCTCCAATACTCACATTTCTTGTGTTTCTGAGCAAAAAAACAGTGTTATGCGAAATTATATGATTACTTTGGTTCTGCTCAAATCAGAAACTCTACCTAAACACCTGGACATTAATCAAGATTGGCATTGTCTGGGTGTTTAATGTGTGATCAAAAGTGTTTCATACTGAGTTAGTTGAAACATCATGAAAACAATTTTGACAATTTTTCCGTATAATGATGTAAAAAAGAAATTTTTGATATTTTATTTTAGTTCAAGAAATATTATGTGATTTTTTTTAAAAGGAAAATATTTTTATTTCTTTAAAACTAGATCATTAAACACACTTTTGTCAGCAAAATTAAATAATAAAATTACTTTTCATTTGCCTAAATATATGATCCATTTATTTTTTGACTAAAATGAAAAGTAGTATAACTAATATTTATTGGCATAGATCCAAAATTTTAACAAGTAAACAATAAGCACATAAGCAGCAAGTAAATGCTTTTCCATTAATGTTTTGGTATGGATATTTATCAAATATTACACTCTGATCCTTATTTATGCATATTCATCTAACTTAATTGAACAGCTTCTTAAAATTATATATGTTTTTTATTTAATTTAAATTAATAAAAGAATTTAAAATGAGCAAATAAATTAACAAAATGCTTAGTTATTTTCTGAGCTTAGAAAGAACAGTGAATGAGCCATATATTTTAAGGTTCAGATAATTGGGCCCACCAGCGGCCGAGCGTTAAAGACGCTGAACACTGGTAGTTCGGTCTGAGGTTCGAATCCCACGAACGGGCTGGCTGCATGGCCGTTTTCGTGGTTTTCCCCATGTGTAACGTGTATACGAGCCAGTTCGCTTAGAAAGTCCTCCACGAAGGCATCCCTCCCTTTAGGCAGATAGCCCTCGTGTGCTTTGCCATAGTTGAATAATCCTAATCCCAGATAATTGGAAGTTCTGATATATTTTTATTGCAAGGTCTCCATAATTTTTTTTCATTCAGTCAATCCACCAAAGGAGGTGATATAAAATGAGAAATAATATGCTACCATTTGAGGTAAATTTAAATATGGCTTAAATTCGTCCATTAGGTGAATTCAAATATCTAATTTGAAGGTCAAAATAAGCTAGTGATAGTCAAGGGCAGAAACACATACAGTTTTTAAGACATATGTCTTTTAATAAGATATATGTTTTTTAATAAAAGTAATAAAAAATAAATTTTTTAATCAAAGTAGTATGGAATCTGATACATAATAACTGTTAAAGCATTTTCATTTGAATTCATATAATCAGTAATTGTAATGAAAAACCTGTGATGTACATTGACAATTTTTTTTTAATATAAAAATATTACCCACATTAAAAAATTGAAATAAATAAGATTTTACTAAACTCAGCAATGAAGACTCAAAACATTTTAGAAATGCTGATCATATTTAAATGCGTGAATAACGCGTATTGCTACAAAAACACACATTGCTACCAAAACTGGAGACAAGGAGAAAAATATTTATTAAATAGTAGAAAGATTGTTTCAATGCAAAATTATTCAAGTGAGTAATATTTTAAACCATATGTAGGTATTCTTCATTTATTGTTACTTTAGAAGCTAAAGTACTTTCAAAAATTTCATATCATTGGTATGACAGCATACTATCTCTCCAACTCTTCCATTAATACACTATATTGATGTAGTCAGTAGAATGAGACAGCTAAGTAATGTACATTATATATACAGAAGTGAAATAAAATGAGCTAAAACTTGCCTTTAAATTCATAATAAGAGCTGTTCATTTAATTCCCAGACTGAATTTTATTAAAATAATAGACATGATTTAATAGTTTAATCTTTGCTATTTATGTCAAAGTCCTCTACTGTTGCTATATGCTTAGCCCAGCATTGGCACCTGCGCAGCACTTTATTGAATTCATTTAACGTTTTTAATCCTATCCTGGAAACCGTTCTCTTTTAAAATAACTTCCTAGGAAACATGAAAGAGATGGAGCAAGTACAAGAAGAACTAGTGTTTCTTGCCCAAGAATCTTCAAGCCTCTATCAGTTGTGTGTATTAGAAATTATTAGTATTTTAATTTATTTCGATTAAATAGACTATTAAAAGATTTTTAATTAAGATTTAAATCCTTAGGAAATGTACTTATATTTCCTAAGGATCATATTATCAAGTATTTATCATTATCTTTTAAAACTGTAAGGTAAGAAGAGTACTATAGTTACTTATCTTATTAGCATAATTAATTAATTGAGGGAATATTAAATGTCATTTTAATTCCAGTGCAATCTTCTAATGATATACTGCTGAATACTTTCATTCTTTTAGTTAAATCTTGGTGTTTTCGCTATGGCAATAAGAGCAAGTGTGCAGATTAAAGATACTGTTATGGATTTTGGAAATTTAAGGTTTGTTTTTATTTTAATAAAGTATAATATGTGTTTTAATGTTGTTAATCTAAAAATGCATCTTTATTTCTTAAAAAGTCATTTTTTTTATATAAGGGTCATTTTTATATATATATATATATTTTTATATAATATTTAATTTTATGTAAGGGTTTAAACCCTTACCTTACCTTACCTTCTGAATTTCTTAAACTTTAAGTTGTGCATCCTTCTGCTGCATTTCAATTCAACAAGACCCCCTTTTCTGCAAGCCATTAAAATTGCTTCACTGTGAAGGCACTACACATTGCAACAAATATCAGATTTGTTTAAAGGTGCTACATGTTCAGATCTGCAAATTATCAACATTCTAGCACATGCACACAAAGCAGATATGAGTAATGCTCTGTGCAATTGGGAAAACTGCATAGCGGGTTCCTCATATAGAAATCACATTTGTTGTTTGTATAAAGGTCACATTATGCCTCTTATAACTAGGAGAAACTCATAGCAACACATGTTGGAATTCAGCCGGAGAAGGAGCGTGACCAGTTACAGATCAATTTAATTTAAAAAATAAATTAAATATCATATATTTTAAGATAAAATAACATGTCAAACAAATATTAGGTTAGAAATCAAGCAACAAAAGTCAGTGTTATATTTGCAAATTTTCTGTGAAAATCTTACATTTTGCCAAATAGCAACACTCTGAGAACTAGTTATAGCCTTCATGCAAGAAAAACTAAAAACGTCCATGTTTTGCATAGTTTGAACATCTGCCAAGTTGATATATGCTTGTGGATACATCATGTTGTGGTAACATAACATAATGCATTTATCCAAAAATTTTGAAGTCATCTTAAAGGTGTTTCTAATTTTTTTTCATAAAGATATGTTAGTGAAATGTAAGATAATTTTCACTTCATTTTTACCAGATATGTAACTCATGTTTTTTCTTGTTATAAAAGTTTTTGGTTTATATTTTAAAAGACATATAATTTATTTTCATATGCATATTTTCAGGACAGTGTTGTGGCTTGGAATAATTCTACTGCCATTGTTGGGTGCAACTTGGGTCTTGGCTATTTTATCTGTCAATGAATCTTTGGAAGTTTTGCATTATATTTTTTCAATTTTCTCGTGTATAACGGGCATATACATTTTTGTTGGATATTGCATCATTAATAAAAAGGTAAGTACAATGATGTATTTAGCTAATTATCATAAAAGTGTTAATTTTGTGTATTACAATAGAATTTTAATGATGTTTATTAATGAGACTATAGCGTACTCGAATATTAAAAAATTCTCAAGCTAGAAAATCAAGAATTTGATTCAAATCCCCCCCTTTTCTGCTGGATTAAATGTTTATTTATTAAAACATAAATGAAGAAGATGCTCTGAGTAAATCTAGAGAGAAGATGCTCTGTCAGAAAAAATAAGAATGCATGGACAAATGTATTTAACCTTGAGTAAATGGCTATCGTGTTAATTTTGCGAGAAATTGCCAAATGTCACCAAACTTGGCGGCATTTATTCTGGTCCCTGTATCACCATAATAGGTACTGTAATTGAATAACTGTAGTCGGTTTAATTTGAAACTATAACCATACACGGCTCTCATATACCTTCCAATAAATTTTAGAAGTACTAGACATTTCTCAGTGGCCGAGTGAAAACTGTATAAGGCCAGAGAGATCATCTGCTGTCAGTTGTTGTGAGTTGTTAGTTCAGAGCGATATTGGAGTATTGAGATATCAGTGAAAGCTTTGTCTTTTAGAAGCGCTTTGCATTACTTTGTGTTTAATGCTGTTAGCAGTTTAAAGAGTAACTACTGTTTGTACTCGGTTATACTATGCACAATTGTACGATTATTTATGGGAAACTTCCAGAACTCTGAAGTGTTTCTTTTAATAATATAAATTTTATCAACCTGTCATTTAAACTATGTGCATTCAATCTATTACAAACCCCTACACACGCAACAATTTTTGTGTCAGAAGTGATACTGAATACCAGTGACAAGAGTGATAGAAGAGCAAGTAAAACTGCTGGTGACTGCCTCTGCAGCATTCGAAGAAAAGGTGGAAGGAGCTGTTAACTCCAACAAAGAAGAGATGAAAACAAGACAAGTATCTGTTTAAGAAGAGATAAATGTGGGCGTAGAGGAGATGAAAGAAGCCATCAACTCTGCTAAAGAAGAAATGAAAGCTAGCCATGAATCCATTAAAGAAGAACTCAAATCTGGTCAAGAATCCACGAAAGAAGAGATAAAAGCAGGTCAAGAGGAAATGAAGAAAGATGTCCATAATAGAAAACAAATCCAAAGCTATGGAAGGCAGAATAGACACAGTTGAAGATAAATTTAGAGAACTTCAAGAAAAAGAGTATCTGGCCATGGAACAACAAATTGACTACAGAGTTTCTGCAGTTACCAAAGAAGTTGATCCTGTAAAGAATTTCATAGTGACAATAGGAAGCAATTCTGGTTTGTTTTAAATTTTCATGCACACCTTCTCATCCCTCTCTAAAGCTATCTCTATGTAATGGTAAGACCTTCTGACAAGTATATAAGACAAAATTTTCTATAGTGGTAGATGTGAATGGGTGGGATTTTTAAGCTAAGGCTTACCATCTCACTGCTTCTCTGAGAGCATACTCAGCGGATATTCTTCAAACTCTGTTCAAGAACCAGAGGTTAGGTTTTGAAGCTCTATTTGCCATGTAAGAGCTATGCTTTCACAAAAAGTGTTTAAAAGACTGTAGCAGGCTTCAGATAAAGTCTTGCCAACAGGAACCCATGGAAACACTCCAGGAGATCACCGCAAACATTGAAAGGCTGTCTCATTTTGCCTTTTTTGACTGCCCGTCAGAAACAAGGGAAATTCTGACCCTGCAGTACTTCATCAGTGGCATTGAGGTTGTGAAATACAGCAATCCCTGCGAATGGGGCATGTCAAGGATTTAAAAGAGTTTTAGTGTACCCATGAAATTCAAAAGAGTCCAGCAAATAACTCATATAGATCACCACCCCATCCTCAAGTCCAGGTACCAGTGGATCAAGTGACTGCTCACCAAGGTGATTTAACCAGACAAATCATTGCCTTGCTGTGGAAATAGGAGTGACAAGAAACCAACCCTAAAGGGCTGGAATTGTGCTCCTGAAGGCCAGGTATGAATGAACTTCAGAACACCCCAGGGCACAGAAGATAAGAGTGCTCCCAGCAAGAAGGTGGGAAACTAATTAGTGGCCATCTTGTGGGGGTCAAGGTTTGCCAGGTAGTGAGAAACCTTATTATAAAGCATTTCAGATTTCTGCAATGAGTGGCGACTGTAATGAAATCTTCATAATGGGACCTATCAGTAGAGTTCCCTGCAATATAACCACCAATAAAGAAGTCAATGTTACCATCATCCAAAAGGATTTGACTTAACAGCTGGAAAGTAAACTCATCTGAACGCTGTGCTGCATTACCATTTGAACATTGTGCTGCATTATCTGAACGTTGTGCTGCATTACCTTCAGACTGTGTCTGGGGACAAAATTGACATTGATGGAAAATTAAATGCCAAATCATCATGTTTGGAAGTGTCACCTACCATCACATGGCATATGTGGCAAATATTACAGACCCTTGCATACTTGGATTAGACTTTCCACGGAAATGTAATTTTTCCATGGACTTTAAATATAAAGAATTGCATTCTGCCTCTGAGGACATAAGCCTATATGGAGTTAATGTTCAAGGAGTTCGGTCTGTCCACCAAATCATAGCTTACGCCGATATCAAAGTACCAGCCAGAACAGAATTTTTACTTCCTGGAGCTACAGCCAAAAACAGAAATTTCTGATCCAGTGTAATGGAATATCCCAAGAACTGTAATGCCCCACAAGGAGTACTAGTGGCTTCGACACTTATCGACTTATCGAGGACTCGGTGAGAGTTGCCAGTGTCAGTGATAAAGTGAAAATCATTGGAAAGGTGAAGTGTTTGCAGCATGTACTCCTGTAGTGAAACATAATTTAATGTTTCTATATAATTATTAAGATTTCCTAAGTGGCAACATGATGTAATGTTTTAAATAGTTATTAAGATTCACTATGTGGCAACAATGATTCGAGCTAAAAACATTGTTACTTGGAGTGTTCCTTGATAAGTGATGCGTAAGCTTTATTTCATAAAAGTTTGTTATATTCTTATGTAAAAAATAAGTAACATGTTGCAAACAAGACTGGAAATTGTAAAAATAAATATACTGTATCTTTTAAGCCAAAATAAACATTTATTTCATTTATGAAATGCTCTGGCTGATCAGTTTCGATTTTGCTTATTCATCAAATCCACACTCCAGTGACCTGTGTTAAATGACCCAATAGTCTGCCAATCTCTATGTCTTCAGAGACCCTAATATCAGAGTTATTGCTCACAACTAAGTGATGAAGAGAGAAGTGCTGCTGAACATGCCATTAAGAAATTTCAAGATGTTTACTCCTGTTTATCTTCTGACATACGTCAAACAAGTTGAGACACAGCATAGAATTGACACTGGGGATCATATAGCAATAGAGCAATATCCAAGATGTCTACCATTACTAAACAGGAAGAGGTAGGAAAACTTCTAAGGAGCATGCAAGAAATCAACGTCATTGAGCCCTCAGCAAGTCCTTGGGCCTCTCTCATCATCCTGGTCAGGAGAAAACAGTTCAATTGGATTTTGTGTTGACTATGGCTGGATGAACGAGGTTAAGACAGCAACTTTTTTTCCCACAGTACTTACAGTAGTTGCTATGCATATAATATATGTATACAATACAAAGTTCATAATCCGGACTTGTCAGGACTTCGGCGATTCCGGATTATAGATCATCAATTTAAATCTGGTAAGATGGCATGCAGAAATTATACAATTAAAAATATGAAACCATAATTTATGAAATAAAGAGCAATTATAATCTAAAGAGGATCAAAATTTACAAAAAAAAAAAAAAAAAAAAAAAGCTTAATATTTATTTGTTTACTTTATTAAACATTAAACATTTCTTTCAATGTAAGTTGTTTAAGTTGCTTCATTTTTTGTGCTAATACTTTCTCTTTAATTCTATAAACAGACATAATTTCTTGTTCAGTTACAAAGTTCCACTGTTCAAGTCCTGTAATTGCCATGTCGAGAATACCTACTAACTTGTCAATCGAAATGTTTTTGTTTTCAATAATTTCTCTGCCACTTTCTTTACTATTGGAAGTGTGCATGCATAAACGCTTTACACACATGCGTAAGTTTGGGGCATTGAGATCCGGATAATGGACATCCGGATTACGGACTTTGTACTGTATATATATATAGAGAGAGAGTGCTATTTTGATATGCATCATTAATTCATTCCAGATGCTTGGATATATACCATACAAACTCTTCCAGTAGGAAATGGAAGGAAGATAATTAATCCATTTGTTATTACTATAACACTGTTTAATGCTAAAACACAAATGCAGTGAATGAAATATTTACTAAACATAAATGAAGCACTGCACATAGTACTATCCATAAATGCTTTTTGGCTGTCCACATCAAAAGAAATTTTTTAACGTCTTGCATTATCTATGTTTGGCATTTGATTTGACCCCTTCACAATGTTAGCCAATTTAATAGTATCTTCATTTTTTACAGTCTTTGACACCATCATATTTGGCATATAGTATGCAATAGCCAAGTTCCAGTATGGATGCCATCTTCATGCTCTTCAGCAATCTCCTTTTTCGCCTTCATGATCTTCCTAATGATTTTCTTTATTGCTTCTTGTAAACTTTCCTAAAACTCACTGTTAATGAATTTTTAAAAAAAATATGAGGGAAAACACAAAATTACATGAAAATTCAGTTATTTCGTGCATTATTTACTGAACAGTAACAACAGGAGTCCTGCTGCTCCTAGATAGTTGTAGCATTGTCTCAAAAGTAGTAAAAAGGTATAGTGCATGCAGTCATGACTCTCACACTCAAATTGCATTCCAAATGAATATCATATATTAAATGTTTTTGCATCCAAACAGGATGTATACCAAGTTACATGTATAACAATGTACCTGTGTATATAATATACATACATATATTACATACACATATACATACATTATGTACGTATACATACATATTACAGATGATACACATACATACATAAAATTTTCATTTTCTCTTCAGGTTGGAAAGGTGGAGTTATTATTTAAAAATTCTATATTAAGCTTTCATTGTGTTTAGTTACATTGCTCACTAAGATGATTTCAATTTTTCTTCTATGGTATATATGAAGGTTAGGCAACAGCTGCATCACACTTGGGCCCGTTTAAGAGGAAAGAAGGTGCCTTATGATGAGAGCCTGAGTGGCACAAGGACTACTGTAGTATCTGTGAGTAAAAATTTAATAATTTTCTATATCTTGATGCACTAAATAAATATCTTCTATATTTTTTCATTACAAGGTACTTAGCGATATATAGAGTCATCCGATATGTAATGCCATTTATCAAACAGGAGTTATTAAAACATGATCTAAAATGTTTAAAGAATTTATTTTTATGGGTGTATGAATATCAATGAGCAAAGACAGCTTTTTTCAGGTAAAATTTGGCTTACAAGTAAGAGTATCTTTTTCCGGATTATAGATCATCAATTTAAATCTGGTAAGATGGCATGCAGAAATTATACAATTAAAAATATGAAACCATAATTTATGAAATAAAGAGCAATTATGATCTAAAGAGGATCAAAATTTACAAAAAAAAAAAAAAAAGCTTAATATTTATTTGTTTACTTTATTAAACATTTCTTTCAATGTAAGTTGTTTAAGTTGCTTCATTTTTTGTGCTAATACTTTCTCTTTAATTCTATAAACAGACATAATTTCTTGTTCAGTTACAAAGTTCCACTGTTCAAGTCCTGTAATTGCTGTGTCGACCGAAACTTGTCAATCGACTAACTTGTCCGACTAACAATACCGACTAACTTGTCAATCGAAATTTTTTCATTTTCAATAACCTCTCTGTCACTTTCTATCGGAAGCGTGCATGCATATTAAATGCCCATGCGTAAGTTTGTGGCTTTGTGGTCTGGATTATACATCATTCCGGATAATGGACATTCGGATTGCGGACTTTGTACTATACTAATTTGTGCTAATGAGCCATCATGAAAATGGTGGTCACAGAAAAGCTTCTCATATATGTTGCATTTAATGAGACTGAAAAAGGCTGTAGTGCAACAAATGCTGTAAAAAGTGTATGGTAAAGGTATTTTGACTATTCACAAGTGCAAACAATGGTTGTTTAAATTTTGTCAAGACAACCTTAGCTCGAAAAATGCCAGCAAATATGGATACCATATCTTTCTTAATAATGGTATCTTGATATCTACAAATGAGAGAAATTCATATGCAACTATTGAAGAATTGGGAAAAGAGGTTAATTCATCATCATCAACTGCCCACTGCCATTTGAAGGAAGTTGGAGTCATGTCTAAGCTTGACAAGTGAGTTCCATACATGCTTACTGATACCAATCAAAGAGAATGTGTGACCATCTGGCTGTGCTCATCATTCATGTGAAATCATTTTCCTTTTTTTAACCATTTGGTGACTGGTGATGAAAATAATTGGCAGTTCAAAGCTTGCAACTATTTGAAATGGTCTTTCAAGGCTTTTTTTTCCAATAATTTTACAGATTTTGTTGATAATGGCATAAAAAAACTGTTACAGTATTGAAAGAATGTTACTTGTTTAAATAGGGGAATATATAATTAATTTCTTTCTTTGTTTTTTAATTCAAAACCTATTTTAAAAAATAATAGAACTTATGCGATAAGCTGACAGAGCAGTGGTCTTCAAACTGTTAACTCAGGGAACTCACGAAACTGTTTTTACAGGAGTGAAACCCCTTTTATATTCAAAGACATAATGTTAAAAAAAAAAGTATTGAATTTATACTTGTAATGTGTATTTATTTGGCATGTGAGTCAAGCTGCCGAGACAAGATAACAACATAGCTGTGTATTCAAAATGTTTGGCTAGCTTAGGTTTCCTGAACCTTTTCTCGTGTCTGATAGCAGCTTCATATGAAAAACGGAGAAGAACTTTAAATCTGTTTTATTAGAATAAAGGTTGCAGCTAACAAGCTGTTGAGAATATCAAGGTTTTGGCATTCACAGTTAGACAAAAATAATATTAATTAGATCCCCAAATCTACTTATCTTTGCATTTTATTGTTAATGGACATTGGAAATCCACAGGACCCACACAAAGAGACCAATATGTGATCTTTGTTATGCAGAAAATTATTTACATCTGATTGTTGTCATTTGTGCTTATTAAAAAGAGAGAGATAGACAGATTTGCTTCATGTTATTTTGGGTAACAATAAAAATTTTAAAGCTTATGAAATTATTTTAGATATTTAGTTTTGATGTCCACATCATTTGATGAATTAGTAATCTCAGGGTTCAGAACTTGGAATTTTCATGGTGTTCACAATCCTTTATTATGTATGCACTTATATATAATATGTACAATCTTTAAATTATACTCTACAAACATTCATAGAAACAATTTTGTATGCCTGTCAGCATTCAAATTCTATCAGGAGCCTTCCTCACTGCCATCAAAATGTATTCTGAGCAAGGAAGAAAGGTTACCATAACATTTGGCTCCCTTTGAGTGCCACTATAAATTTCAGTTATTCCACATCATTCAATCAAAACTCATTTGAATTGGGATTTTGATTTGTGGAACCCTTAAGGAGTTTTATGCCCAGCAGTGCAGTTTGAAGACCAATGGATTAGAGAAGTGTGGTGTCTCTCCATCAAGATGGCAGCACAAGAAGTAATACTCCTTGAAACTATGTGCTATACGTACGTTTAACAAAAAATTCCACTAGAAACCTGAACTACATAATAGTGGATACTGCTGCTTGGAGCTAGCTATCAATGATACTTGTGATTAATAAGAGAAATGCTTAAAACTCAGTGCCTTTAATCAGATGAAGACCCCCATAGTTTACTGGAGGTTTGATACTCCCAAACTTAAGAAATTTACAGAAGGTTTACTGAATCAAAATTTCATTTATAAAGTTAAATGTGAAGTAATTTATATTTCATTGTGTTGCATTCTGCTGTTGTAATTTTTTTAAATTTATTTTACAAAAAACTAATTTGTTTTTTAAGTATTTTAAAATATAGGGTAAAAATCTAAAATTTGAAAAAGCTTAACATTGTTCCTATAACTATTAGAAGTCACATAAAATACTTATAATGTGATTGACAAAAACTTAAGCAGTTTTTCATTTGTTTGATGTATTATTCGTCACTCTTTGTTAGAAATGAAAAATATAGCTATCTGAAATTTGATGAAGAATTTTGAATCGCTGTGTTTGTGCACAAGTGAATTTATGTGTCACAGAAAGATTTCTGATTGCTACAGTGAATGATATCTTTCCAAGTTACAAAAGCTTCAACTATTTTTTAATTAGGATTTTCAAAGTATGCATTACATAGTGTTACTTTAGAAGCTGTAGAATATAAATGTAGAGGTTCTAATTTATTATCAGCTGAGTAAAAATATAAATCTGAATTTATTTATTTGTTATTTTGTATCATCTAAATTTTTATTTATGCCTATGCATAGATTACATATTAAATAAAATTCTTACAGCGTTCAGCATTGGCTTATCAGAACTCCTCCTTTGACGTCTTGCAGCGTAACATGGGAATTTCGACTTCTTCCACAACAAGTCGATCCACAACCAAGACTTCGAGCAGCCCATACCGCTCTGACTCTCATTTGAAAAACACTTCCACTTCGACTTCTCATGCCGGGTCGGAGCCAAGACGCAGATCGTCTCGCAAGGGTTACTTGTATGGAAGACATAGGCACAAGCATAGAGATGTTGACGGTGAGTAAACTTTTGCATTTATCAATAATGTAACTTCAGTTCTGTGAATTTATTTATCTGGAATGTCATCAGTAGCCAAGCAGTTAAAGATCACTGAATACCAGTAGTTCAAACCCAAGAGAATGGGTTTGTTGCATGGCTGATTTTTGCAGTTTTTCCTCTGTATAATATGAATATGAACCAGTTTTCTTTACTAAGTCCTCCCTCCCTTTAACCAGACAACCCTTCTTTGCTTTGGTTTATATCTAAATAGCCTAACTTAATCAAATATCTTTATATCTCCAATTATCCAAATTCCAGATATTCAGATTGTTCCACTCTCTAGGTTATGTAAAATTAAGCTTGCTTTTTGTTGTTGTTAATTTACTTAGGCAATTTTAATAATTTTGTTAATTTAAACAATAAAGCAACCAATCTGTCTAGGAGCTTACCTTCCTTACTTCGGAATCAAACAAACAATGTAAAATTTATTTAAGATTACCAATGGGTAATCTCAAGGTTTTAATGGCACTTAACCCTTATTTTTTTATTAACACTGAAGTTGCTTTTGTGGGTAGCTGTATTTAAAATTCTTTATGGGTACACTCAGCTGAAGTAGATCACAGTCTTCCTGCTGCTTCGCATCTATTTCTAAGCATTTAAAAGTCATTCATTTGTTATTATTAATTTTAGCATTAGAACTGCCTTTCCATATCATTTACCATATACATCACCTAGCATAAGTAGCAACTGCACAGGGCATAAAATTGTTCTAGTAATGTATTTGTAGTCTGGTAAATAACATTTCTAATAAATCCAAAATGTCGTCCAAAGGTGCTAAACATGTAGTAAAACCAAAACAATATTCATCACTTGATTCGTAATCTATAAAAATGATCATAAGCCAAAATTTACACCAGCAGCCAAGTAATGTTCTCTATATCTTTCCGAGCAAGAGATAGAGTAAATCTAGTGTTTTAGTGTGTACTGTTCCTGACATGAAAACTCACACATCATTGTATAAAAAGAGATTAGTACAGTACAAAGTCCGAGACCTGGGCTCGCCAGGACTTCTTTGGTTCCAAATTTGGGATTTTCCCCGATATTAGATCATCAATTTAAATCTAGTTAGATGGCATGCAGAAATTATAAAATTTAAAATATGAAATCATGATTTAAGAATAATGAGCATTTATGCTCTAAAGCATATCAAAATCAACAAAAATAAAAATGTTAATATTCATTTATTTACTTTATTAAACATTTCTTTCAATGTAAGTTGTTTAAGTTGCTTCATTTTCCTGTGCTAATACTTTTTCTTTAATTCTATAAACAACAGAACTTCTTGTTCAGTTACAAAGTTTCGCTGTTCAAATCCTGTAATTGTTGTGTCGAGAATGCCAACTAACTTGTCAATCGAAATTTTTTTGTTTTCAATAACCTCCGTGTCACTTTCTTCACTATCAGTATCGGTAATTTCTGGATCTAGAACCATACTATAGATTTTGTTGTCCATTAATTGGTTGATGATTGGGGCATTGTCATCACAATGAAAAACTTCTGTTATATTATCTTCATTTATTACAGCTTCTCCACATTTCTTTATAAAATCTATTAATTAAAAAATTTAGCTTTTGGTTTGCAATATCTGAAAACCGTCAAATTCACGGCTATCATCTTCATCAGCCTTACCATGAAATATGGTAGCTGGCCATAAATTATCCAAGCATTTTTAAAATTATCTGAAGACACATTTTCTCACGATCTTGTGATGCTCCATGCAGCAGATTTTACACTAAAATATTTTTTAAATTGTTGTATAGTCTTGCCATTGTTCAAGAAATCTAACATGGATTTTAAAAATGCTACTTTATATTTGCATTTCAGCCTGCACACTATTCCGATATCCATGGGCTGAATAATGGATGTACAATTTGGAGGAAAGAATAATACGGATAAGTTATTTTTCACTAAAACTTGAAGCAAATCATGAGCCGAACAGTTGTCTACAATCAGGAAAATTTTTACTTAAATCTATAATTGTCGCTAAGCATAATGTCAGCATAAAAGATTGCCATACTCTTTATTATTCAATAACTAATAAAAACGTGTTTAGACATCGCTGCATAAGTCATTACTCAAGTTGTCATGTGTTGATAAACATGCAGTTATGGAAGCAAAATATAATAAATAATGATTCACCAGGTTGGCATCAGGGATATAAAATACTAGTAGGTGTAAATTTAATGATGTTCCTATGTAGAATGTTTTGATTTGAGATGTATCTGGTTACATAGCCAAATTATTTATCTCGCAATTTATGTTAAAATAATTGTTTCTTCAATAACAAGGTATTTTATTTAGTGCCTAAGTGAAATTAAGAATCGGGACTCTCCACATGTTTTATTATGGAAGAAAAAAAATCAAATGCATATGCATAAAGCATTAAAAAATGGTTGTTTGAGGCTTTATGATCCTGATTTTAGATGCTTCCAGATACTGGATGTCTGGATCTCGGACTTTGCACTGGAGTTCATTTTTATATTCTAAATAATTCCTTGTTTTCTTGGTTGTTCTGTTATTTGCTATGATGAGCTGCAGGAGCATAATATGTTTTTGACATTTAAATCCTCAAATTATTAGCTCATTATAATCAAATCAAATATATAATTCAATCATTAGCTCATTGTTTTTATCTCATAGATCTGAATATCAGATTTAAATTTAGATCTTCAAAAGAGAATTATTTTGAAACACCAGTTAACAGGATGCCATTTACAAGGAATTTTGTTGTAGTACCGATATAACATTAAGCAACAGTCACAGAACTCAATGCATAATGTATCATTTGAGGAAATACACAATGAAGCAAAAATGCATTTTATTACAAAATTTTGGCCACAACAGCATTATTTTTAGTGAACAGTTGATCTTTCCCTAAGAACTATAGAAGTCAATATTCATTAGGGCATAAAATCATTTTTAAGTTTTTATGTGGAAGATTCTGCTATAAATTTTGCAACTTGTCAACAAATTTAATGGTATTCTGAATAAGCTGCATTTAGCTTGCTAGCATTATCCAGATGCATTCTTCTTTTAAGTCTGAGGACCTGGATTGTAATGGGAGGGTATTAATCATTTCCTGGAGGCTAGGATAGATGTGTTTCTTGTGTTCACCATATTAAGCAAGGCCAAGGAATTTTATTTTTCACTGTAGATATTTAAAATTTACAGTTGAATGTAAAATAGTAAACAGCAGACTGTGAAATTACCCCTCCTCCCAGTCCTGCCTAAATGACATGAATAAGGAAAACATCAAACTCTTCAGCCCCAGATGAGAATAGTAATGAACTGGCCTTCAAAGATTTCAGGTGTGATCACTTTTTTAATAAATTGTTGAGTTTTTTTTCCCCCATTTGAAATTTAGGGGAAATGTTGTTATATCACATCAACATTAACTTAGTCTTTTGTCTTTGTCTTGTATGATTTTCAAGATTTTAGTAATAACCAGAATCAGCTTTATATTTAGACTGATTGGCTAAGGATACCTATTTTGCTTATAAATAAAAATGGGTAAGTAAGTTAATCTTTTTTTTCTCCCAATTCATACTATATAGTTTTATGCTAAATAAATAATGCATTTAAGTCTGTCATGGCAATCACCTCTGAAAGTTAAAAGTATTTTAAGTCAAAAAATTCCTAGTTGCTTTTTTAAGAAAATCAAAATTGTCAGTAGCCATGGTTGGTCATTTTGGAGAAGTTTCACTGTACAAATATAGCCAATGTATAATGGTGCTTAAATTTCCTTTCCATTAGGACATACAGATATTCTTGTTTAAACCTTGATGTTAACAATTATTAATTAGGAGAATGCTTTAAAGTCATTGAATAAAATTTGGTGCATTCTAGGCTTAATTTTTTAATGAATTGTAATTAAAAATATGCTTTCAATTTTGAAAATGGCTTTCAGTAGTAAATCTTCATTTCCTCTTTGAAATTAGAGTATATTTTCTAGTTAAAATTTCATATTATATTACAGATCCAGACACAGGAGAGATCAATCGTCGAAGGACTCGTGATTCAGATTCAGAAAGCGACCTGTCTCTCGACCATGCATCTCTAGATCTGGCTTCCAGCCATTCATCTGATGAAGATGAGTATAATGGAGACACATGGAAGAAAAAAGCTACAAAGAAGCCACCTGGTAAATGTTATTTATATTAAGAAGAAATATTGACAGTTATATCTTTTCAAAGAACTTTCTTAAAATTGCTTTGAAATGCATATAATTCTTTTATACATAAAAGATTTATATAGAACAGTATCATATATATATACATGAAATATATCTATATTTGTTGGTGAGATCTTCATTGGAAATTTAGGAATTCATTGGAAATTTATTTTAAATTATTGCCAACCTAATATTAAATTCTGTCTAACTTTTGAAGTACTATGTTACTTTAAGTATAACTTTTTATTAAAAATTTTAAGATATAAAATTAGGGTGCAATTAAATGCAGATATTTTAACATCTAATCTCTCAATAAATTTTACATAAATATTAGAAATATTTTAAGAAATTTAAAAAATAAATTTTTTTAAATATCTATAATAAAATTTTTATTATCTTTTGGTTTTAATGGTAAAATATCAATCACTCAAAATGACTGATTTTTCCTCCTTGAGAGAAATTGCTATTTGTTTGTCAGTGTAGTTAAAAAAGTATTTCTACTTCCAGATACTTTCCTTATTCACTACTTAAATACTTTTTGTATCATTAATAATAATAATAATAATATATAATAAAACTTTGCTAGATAATACTTACTTTATCTCCCTTTTTTTAAAAAAATAATTTGAAACTGTTCTTTATTTTAGAAGTGCCACCAAAGCCTAATATAATGGGTGATCCAGCTTTATATGGAACAAATACAGGTAATTTTCTTATCAAAATGTTCAATTAAAGAAACTGTATGATGTGTAATTAATTTATAACATTCTTAATTAATCATAGATTTAAAAAAAATTGACTGCTCTCATACATTGTTTTGGGGGACAGATCAACCGTCCAAGTGGCCAAGGGTGTGGCTCCCAAAACTCTGAACTTCCCACAGCTGCAAGTGAATATTAATTTCTTAATTGTAGTTCCAAAATGAGCTTCTTCCACTTTGTAATCCTTTCTTTACAATGTTACACTCCCTCAATTGCCTGAACGCATTCCTAAATGCATGCCTGTATAAATTTTTTTATTCCAATTTTGTAATTTTCTGTAATTTGCATTCTACCAGTTTATAATGTAACATGGAGAAATTAGGATAGACCTTCAAAATTTTTAGTATGGATATTTATTCTTTTTCATTACGATTTTTTTATTTTTTGATATATATATATAGAGAGAGAGAGAGAGAACTTGAACTGTCCAAGTGGCTAAGCTGTATATATATACATTTGTTAATATTAGGCATAAGTACATACAGAGATAGACATTTTGAAATGTGTTCAGACATTGAATGTAGTATATATGTTGGAAGAAAAGTATTAGAGGTACAAATTGGGAAGATCATTTTGTTATTATAAGCAGGAAACTATCACTTATTCATGGTCTTTTTGGAAACTTCAGTGTTTTGGTACCATACCCATGGTGCTTGGAGGGTTGAAAACTTTTAGGACCATCGAACTTTTGACATGGACTATGAGAAGAGTAAAAATTTTTGTTAGTTGGATTGTGATTGCGATAAGACATAAGTGTTTCAGAACAGAACATACTGTAGTCCTTGGAGTATAAACACACATCATTATCATGGAGAATCAAGGCAAAATGTCGGTGAAAGCTTGGGAATTCCAATGCAAAGTGGTTTTGGACATGCAAGGTGGTCTGCTTGTGGACTTTGTGCATGAAGACACCCTCAACATTTACTATTAAATGCTGTTGAAATTGCATCTCTGAATTCAAAATATGTGATGTATCATATTGCATTGTGTGTATTATAACAATGTTCATCCTCATATGACATATGCAACACAAAAACTCCTTTGTCTTTAGCTCAGAACCATTTCCTCATCCTTCTTACAGCCTAGACATCACACCATCTATTTTTGCTTTAGAATTCTTTCTTTTGTGGTCAGAACTTAATGCTGAAAAAAAAAAAAAAAAAAAAAACACTGTCACAACTTGATTGTCATCACAAGTAACATCATCATGGTGAGAGAATGTAAAAAAAAAAAAAACAAAACAAAAAAAAAAAAAAAAAAAACTAGGGTCCCATTAAAGTTTAGTTGCTTAACATTGCTTAACAAAGTTTAAATATTGTTGGAAATTTTGGTAAATTGTAGTGCAACATATGTACATGTCATCACAATAAAATTTTTGTTTCAGTATATTGGTATTTTTTTCGGTAAGCAAATGAAACTTACTTCCTGAATGCCCCCATAAATCATTGATTGTCACATTATTATGCAAATGTATTTTCTTACTCTGAAAGACAAAATAAAAAATTTATGTTGTATGAAATGAGAAGTGACAATGTTTTTGAGAAATTGGAAATTATTCTGGCTATGTGGATGAAAAATAGCAACACTGGCAAATTCCCGTACATTTTAAGCTATGGTAGCAGACAGTAATAAGGTGCAAAAAATTAAAAGACTTAAGTAAGCTATGGACATTTCTAACATTAAACTGGTTTTCTATAAAAATGTTATTAGTACAGAAGAATACAAAAAATATTATCTTTCAGTTCCAGCAAAAGGGTTCAATCTTCCTCCCGGAAATATTGGCAGCAATATTTCACCCTATGCACAATACAATAGTTCCTGGGGTTTACCTCGCAACATCATTCCTTCAACTCCTGTGGGACCAAACGAGAGCATTGGCCTGACCGTGGGCCTTCCTTCCAGAGATCCAATAGTGCCCTGGGGAAGAGGAAACACCAATAGGGAGAAAGGCGCAACCGTACCCCAGCGGCTGCAAGATATATCTTCCTATTTGGATCCAAATTTCACTCCGGAATTATTGGGTAATTTGTTTTCTATGTTTAAAAAGATTCATCCTTTTTTTTATTAAAGTTTATTTATTATTTTAAATTTTATGTTCTTGTATGAATTTGAAATTTTTATTGCTACAAACAATATATTCCTCACTTTGAACTGTGTATTTAACAGTAAGAGAAAATGCTGCAGTAAATAATATAAAAGGAATATCTGTATGAATTTTTATTGCATACATGTATGAAATTGTTTCTTGTAAAAAAAATCTTTGTGACATTTGTTATCCAAAGGTATCCAAGTTCTTTTACTACCTTGAAGAAATTTTCATAGTATTGTAAGATTCCAAACCTAGAAGTTTCTACATTGTGTCTGGAACATTGAGAACTGTTAAGTGAATAACCACTTAGTTCAGAGAGATAGAAATGTAAACAAAAACGAAACGTACAAAGGGTTAATTACTCTTTATTATTCAAAATGAATTTAACAGACGACTCCTGCTTGGAGTTACATTGAAGCCATTCACTTGGGCTTGAACTCAGGAATAATAAGCAATAAAACTTGACTAAACTAAAAAGATATAGCCGAAACTATCAAGATTCTAACCGAGTTGGCCCCTTAATGCTAAATAATGACGAAGCTATCAAGGACCTAAAGTATAGCCGAGTATAATAATAGCTTAAGAGAGAGAGAGAGAGTAGCCTGAAAGGCGAACCTGCACTGCTCAGAATATCTGGCTCTCTAAGGCCCATATCGCATGGCATTTATTTCACAGGAAAAATTATTTCGGACAATTTTTCTGCCTGGTTTACTATTGATAGAAAGACGTGCGACTTTTTCCTTCCTTTCCAAAAAATTACAAGTTGTTCGTTTTCAACCAATCAGCTATCAGCTTCAAATGCTATCAGCTTGTTTGTAATGGGGAACCAGTTTTCCCTGTGTTAACCCCAAAGCAATCTATGGTAATTGGCTGTTGTGACAAAGTAGAAAAATTGTTCCAAACAGTTGTTACCAAAACAAACCGATGTGTGATAGCAGCCTATCAAAGTCAGTAGAACTTCAGAGTTAAATACTTCTCCTCATTTTCATTTGACTGCGATCCTGCAAATAAGTTCTGGCCGAATGTTGTAAGCTGAAATTCAGAGAGGACAGGAAAGTAACTTTTAACTAAAAATTAACTGTTTGATAAATTAAGATAAACCTTACAGTATATTTGCAGGTACTAAAGTTAATTCTTTCACTATGTGCTAGTACTTAGATTCTCATAATTTGTGCTTAATAATAAAAGTGCTTAAATAAAAGTGCTTAATAATAAAAGTGCTTAAATAATAAGGGTATCTTGGAAAGCTTTCAACAGTTTTAATTAATTCCTTCATTTCAATTTCCAGTATATCTATAACTTTAATATTGAATGGTAATCACCAGTCTGATACATCTGAAATTATGTTTGGCTCCATTGATTCTAATTGTTAGAAAGCATGATATGTGAGCATTTCAAGATATTTGCCTTATGAGATAGCATTCCCCTTTCCCACAGAATAAGCCAATCATATTGCTGTGTGCAATTCTCAAAGGTAGTGTTAAAAATGTCGTAGCACTAAGTCCTTATAAGGTAAGAAGAAATTTGTAAAAGGAAAACTATTGGCGTCAATAATTGAATCTATTTGTATCAATATATATATGTAGATACAGACAATAAAGCATTAAAAAATTATTTACAAAAATTATATTTTTCATACATTTTTTTCAAACATTCATTTTCCAGTCATTTATTTTAGAATATAGTTGAAAATTTTCACAAATTAGTACAGTAATTTATTTCTTGATCAGTTTCACAACTGTATTGCTGTAAAATTTCAAATCTTATTCTTCTAAAGGCAAACTTTTATCAAACGTTATTTGCTTAATATTCTGTATATCATCACCATCATCATTACAACTTTCTTGTACCAGATTTAAAACACTATCAATGATTTTTTTCATCATACTTTTAACAGTGGTCTTCACCCAGATTTATCAACTAACTTAAACTTTTTGACCCATTCCTTTATTTGAAATGCGTATTCAGTGCTTACGTAAAGAAGCAATTCTTTAATTATAGCCATTATTTGAATCTCGCTCACTCCAGAAAAAAACTTATCATTATCCTAATCTGTTTAAATAAAAAAATAATATTGCTTAAAAGTTGCGTCACTCATTTGTCTAGATGAACTTAGAAACAAAAACTAATAATTCAAAAGTTTTGCAGTTTCACAAATTAAGTTAATTAATTAAATTTGCAGTTTCACTATTAAATGCAAATCTTGCTGTTTGCATCTGAGAGGCTCCATGAATTTTAAGTTGATGGATTTTTGGTCCATAGCTTCTGAGAATGAGCAATCAAAGCAGTAAAATTTTTCTGTGATTAAAAAATGTTCTGAATTTTTGGTTAGTGTGTTCTGAATAAAGAATTGTAACATCACTAAATAAAATGGTTGAAATCTGTAAAGATATTTAATTGGGATTTTTTGTTGCCTTTTCTCTAATAAAACTTCATAAGTGTTAAATATGAAGCATTTCATTTTCCCTTCCTCTGTGGGACTTTTAATTTAATCTTCATAAAATTCTGAAGTTTATTTACTTCTTTTTTTCCAGATGAAGTCTCCAGCCCCGAACAGCTTCCTGTACCCGAGCGATGCGATAGCCTACACTCTAGTGTTAATAATGTAAATAATAATTTAAATACAACACAGAGTGGTGAACAAGAACCGAGAGCAGAACCCAACAAAGAAACTAATATAAATGTATCTTCTGCTCTCGAAGGGAAGAAAGTTGTTCTACCTCAACTAACAGCTGCAGAAGTTTCTTCAGAATCAGAGTAGGTGGTTTTTGTTCACTCTTACATTTCTGAATTGTAAGGTTTTGTCTGGGCAAGTTCTTAAAATGCTGATTCTCAAACAGTGTCTAAAATGGAAACTTGTACAGGAAGAAAGATTGAATGATAATCTTTTGAATTGCTAATTGTAAACCCATGAACACAATTTGAGAAATTAGTCAAATTCAAATAAAATAGGCTTCCAGACAGTGAATACTTTGTCATAACAGTGTCATAAAAAATATACAAATTGTGCATTTTTATGCAGGTCCTTTATGAAGATTTCAAAACTGGCATGCACTATTGATCCTGAAAAATTGTAAAATTTTGATGGTTTGATATTCAATTGATAATAAAGCATGCAAGAGCTATATGCCTAAGGGAGGGTAGGCTTTTTTGGAAAATTTTGTTAGGAAAATATGTTTTTATCCATATTTAGATTAAAAAAACAACAAAAAGGTCCATACAACCACACCCATTCAATGGGATTCAAACCTGGGTTGATCCATCAGTATTACCGCTAGGCCATGGGTGAGCCTCAAAATTTGATAACTTAATTTAGTGTCACTAGATGTGAAAATATTAATTTTGGGGGGTTGTGTAATATCTTAATTCTTAAATTTAAAAAAAAAAAAATAGTATTTCTATAAATAAGAGCTTCATGTTTCTGAGTCAGTTTATACATTAAAAAACTTAACATATAAACATTACAAAGCCCAAGATCCAGAATCTAGCCTTTTGCGATTCTGTATTTTGCATCATCAGTTTAAATCTAACAAGATGATGTATAGACAAGGCAACATCGTGGTTTCACTTATTAAAAAAAAGGTTTAGGTCAGATAAAAAAAAATTATACTCCCTCCAGGGTTGGCACCACAGCAAGTGCAACCAATGCAGCTGCACTAGGTGTCAAGGCTGGCAAAATCTTTACAATTTAGAGAAACAACAAGTAGGAAATATTAGGGATGGCATGTAGACATGGAAACATTGGGGCTTCTCTTATTGTGTAGGTCAGACAGAAAAATGCTACACCCAACAACCCCTCAAGGGCTGAAAGTATGATCCTGACTAACATCAATGTGGTGTCATTCGGTGCATTGTTATTAGCCACAGTGCTATTTCTCTAGCCAACTGGTTTTTGAAAGTAACATGTAGGATTTTCAATTAGTCAACCCATTTATGGCACATATGCTTCTTGTTATATCCATTCCTATATTCTTCATGATTATTTATTATTTTATTTGTTACTTTTTCTCAGTTTTTTTTTTTTTTTTTTTTTTTTTTTTTTTTTTTTTCCAGCTGGTCTGGATAGTGGAATCCTGATTTCAGACTTTGTGCTGTAACTATCTCTTATCACACACAGATATACAGTCTCACAAAATTTTTATTAAATATCGCAAGTAATTTGAGAATGGAAATGTTTTGTTTGATTGCTTTAGTTGTGAAGAGCATTCCTTATATTTCCATCTCCTCTACAAAGTTCATATAAAAATTTAGCTGTTCTATAATTTTATTAAAGCTAAATTGAAACATGACCAAAGTGTTTCAGTTTGAAAGCCCTTACTAGGTTCATTTCTTAAACTTGAATCATGGATCAAAGATTATCTCTCCAGTGATATTTAGTCATGAAATGTTTTTTTAACTAGTCTGTATCATGCTTCCCAATAATTATCTTACCCCCCCCCAAAAAAGTGATAAACTAGCAATTTGAGTGGTACTGCTTTTTAGATTTGCTCCATGAAGAACTGTATTTAAATAGCTTCTGTTAGCTAAGTGTGTACAATTAGTTATTTTAGTCTCGGTTTTTTATAAGCATCTGTATATCTAGAAGACGTACAAATCATTAAAGAAAGTAATAAATGAATTTTAATTGTAATATATACCATCTAACAAAAATCTCATGATTGACAGTCATGTCAGTCAGGGATTCTGTCTGAATTTTATGTAAGTGTTACGAAAATAATATAAATATTGATTAAATATTCACTGCAGAGAAATTGCATTTGAAATCATATTATTATTTTTTCCCCTTCCCCAATGGTGGGCCCTCAGCTGACTTCAGCTTGGACATTACTAAAGCCAGAAGTGGTGGCCACTTTACTATGTAGGTACCTAATAGGTGCACCATCTTTACCTCCAATGAAGGGACAGACAGTTACAACCGTGCCTTTTCTGGGATTCAAACTGGGTCCCTTTGGTATTGCAGTTGACTCCTCTAACTACTATACCATCTGGGTAGCACAAATCATGTTACTATATAATGAGGAGAAATATTCAGTCTGAATCTATCTCTTTATAAAAGAAGAATACGTTAAAAGAAGGCAAACATATAAACACTAGTTTAAAGAAATCAAATCAAGGGAATTCTGCTTAAACAAAATCTGAATTAAATCTGGTGCAGGTCATATGCTGTTCTTCTGTAGGAGTGAAAGTATTGTAAAAAATCTAATACATACTTTTGCAAGAAATAAGTAATAAAGTTATTTATTTACTACAACTTACTTAGGTACAAATTGTTTTTCTTATCTAATAAAGATTTCTGCATGGAAGAGAGGATAATAAACTTTTTTGAGGGAACATAATTCTCATAAATCTAAGAGAATACTTTTGTTGAAGCTAGGAAATGATAGACTGCAAGAACAGCAACACATAAATCTGAGGAGATGTAGTTGGGAAACAGAACACAAAATTGTCCAAAATAATTTTCCATGAACATTCCCATTGAAATTTTAAAAAATTGGTTATAGAAATAATAATATTTACTTACATATAATTTTATTGCAATATATACATATATATTTACAGAAGATCCTTATGCACAAGCATGAGCTAACAACGGCAGTACTTGTTCAGTTATTGTCATGAAAAAGATACAGCCAGAGGCAACTCACCGCAGTGCTCCCTTTCTAGTGATTATGTTCAGAAACGGGCAGGAAAATGGATATGTCTGACTGATTTTCACAGAGGCTGTGGTCCCAATAATTTCAAAGACACTGGCATTGGTGAAGATATGACAATCTTCTTGAACGGTACTTTTGTGTCTCCATTATACCCCAGAAAATATAAATGCAGGTTTCATTGGTGTAGAGAAATGAACAACTCCTATTGTTTACTGGTTTTATTCCTTCAGATAATTTTGTCTATGCATTGCAACACTGGGCTAGTCCATTATAAGTTGGCCTAAGAGGTGGTTTTACCATTTCATTCCTGATGAAAACATGCATGCCCTGTAAAAGTTCTTGAAGCACAAAAATACAATTTTCTCCATGGTTGCTTGCAGCATTAGTTTTAAGTTGCACATATCCTCTTTCAGTGTTTGAATAAAGTCTGCTACATTGGTGAAATGTGTTGGTTCAAAAAATTCTCCTGTTAAGTCTTAATGTTAAGCTGTGCACTAATTCAGTAGCTGTTACATTGAGATCAATAGTAGTAATGAATTTTTCTGGCACATAACCTGAAAGGTTTTTGGTACCAAACATCAAGACGTTGAGATCAACTCTGAACATTGACCTCAAATCAAGTTATATGGTTGGCAAACTCTGTCCAGTTCTGATTCAAATGAGCTTTTAATGAGGCTTTAAGCAGGAAATTAAAATTCTCAATTAAACCATTAGAAGCATAATGGAATGCAGTTGAATGAATAGCCCTAACAATTGTATGAGTGATTAGAACAAGGGTAATTCAAACTGCTTTCCTTGCTCAATAGTACTAATGAGTTAAATGCTAGAGAAGGGAATCTAACTGGAATTACAGATGTCAGGCTTATACAACTTAATTGCTCAATTTAGTGGAATTATTTCATATCAAAGAGTGAATCTGTCAGTAAGCAGTTTTTATTCCTGGACAGACTAATGCATGTAATATGTTGAAAGAGAATTCAGAGAGGAGATAAGGTTGTAGCTTTTCTGTAGAAGCATTGCTATAAAGTTTGATACTAATATCTTTCAAAATATGGGTTTTAATTGTATGGAGATGTCAGTAGACATTAACAGTCTCTCCAGAACTTTTTTCTTGAACTTTTGCTATTGAGCATACAAACAGCCTATACCAGAGCTAAATATCCACAGTGGTGTATTTCTGGTTCTTGATACATATCCAATATTGGTACTGAATTGCCCTTTGTAATCTAAATGGTGTAACTGCCTAAGATAACAACATAAAATTATCTAACTTCTGCTGAAAAGCAAATGTAAGTGGTCTGTGGTCTGTAACTAAGACAAAATTATGACCTTTTAGCATATATCTAAAATGCTGTATGGTGACATAAATTGCATATGGCTGTGTATCAAAAAGCTGTCACCTTTGTTGGGATGGAGAAAAAGGCTAGAGGCTGAAATATCATATGTTTATTTTCTCTGGAGATTATTTTTTTAAATATTGCTTTAATAGCTTTACCGCCATAAGCATAAACTAAGACTAGAATGGTTTTTGGGGTCAAGATGTACAAGTAAGATTGCTTGAGACAACTGTTTAATAAATGCTTCAATTTTTTTGTCTGATCACATAATATCAGATTTATTATTTTCCTTAGCTTCTTTTACTATATCTGTTTGTATGCTAGAACCTACAAACAGAATAATCCAGGGAATGACACTCTGTAACAATAAGCAGAATAATTATGCAGCGTAAATAACATAATGTCAAACAAAAGGAGCAAAAAGAGTGGTGGTCTACAGCTCTGTGCAACCTACAGTAAAGCCAGTACTGGGCTTTCTGGACCAGGAGCAGTACAGCCATAATAGCTTGGCTATCTGTAATAACAGCAAGCAGCAACCCTGAAATTAGCTGCAATGAGAAATCCAAACACTGCTTTCAGGCGGTACTCCATTATCAGATACAACTTCCATGCGGTGTTGTACCATCACTTCTTAATTCAAGAGAATCAATTTATTTATGGGCCATTGGAATACTGTGAAATGTCCACATTTTTAACTAAATGGACAAATCCATTTCATCCTGGATATACCTCTACTATTCTTCCCAGTGGCCATGTAGCTGAAAAAATTTCACCTTTTAATAGAAGAATATCAACAACTTCCAGATTTGGCTGATCCTTTGCCCATTTTGATCTAGAATGTAAGCTATTCAATCATCTAAACTGCAGTATATTAACTATACCATCTCTTTCACAATCCCTGCATTATTTTTTTCAGCAGATTCAACTGGGAGCAAAGGTCTTGAAGACTAGTATAGCTATATTTAGGAATACCTGTCATAATTTCTTCTGTTATGAAATGAGAAAAAGTTAGTACACCTAAATTTGATGCGTGTTGTGTTGTGACATCTCACTTGTTTGACAGTAACACATGAACAAGCCTAAAAAATTCATTGTGGCATGGAGTGCGAGACTGCATCTGTCTTTTGGCAAGAGCCTTGACCACCATACAGGTGATGGTATGACTTTGCTCAGTTCCACTTCCAATTTTGACGGAGAGCACCCTTCTTTCCCTAACACTAACCTCTCGAGAGGGCTTTTGGCTTGCCACATATTTAGAGTTCCCCCATGCCGCACTACTATCCATGCCTTCTCTGGGATTTGAACTCGGCCATTCGGTATGGTCAGCATTTATCTATTTGAAGTAAGAGTTAAGGCCTAGAATTTAAAATAGCTTCTCTTTTTGAAAATTAACCATTGTTTCAAATGTAAGCACAGGCTCTCCTATCACTCTTCTGATATGAAACTTTGCAGATTTAATTCTGTTTCCCCATATACCACTGAAATGTGGATAGACAAGAGGATTTGTATGACACTGAATGAAAAAAGTGGACCAAAACCCATTGAATTCTTCTGACATACTTAATTCCTTTAAAGCTATTTCCATCTCGTGCAATTTTCTCTTTGTTCCAATAAAACTAGTCACATGATCACTGAAAATTTGTTGTGGTATACTTTAACTTGCAGCAAACTTCTTCAATGCAGCAATAAAGCTTTTGTTAATTCCCCACTGCTTGAGAATTCCTGTGCCAGCAACTAAAATACCATCAAGATAGGCAGATGCAAAGTCTAAGACGTTTAGCACTCCATTGCCTAATTGATAAACTTTGAAAAGTTTAGACTGCATTCGAGAAAAGGAGCAAAAAAATTCATATAGTCCAAAAGGTGATTTGGGGCACATCATCTGAATAGACAAGTATATGATGATACATCTTTACAAAGTCTATTTTGAAAAATATTGTCATAGTAAAAAAAAAAAAAAAGCTCCCTAAAGGATACGAGTTTGGTATAGCAATTCATTGTAGCAATCTCTAATCTCCCTGTCAGTTGAAAATCGCCATTAACTTTAGGCACAGGATTAGACCAATTAGATTGCTTGGGCTAATGGCTTGGGAAGCATGATATTTTTCTACCAGATTTCAGTATTTATAATTACAGGAGATCAAAATCATTTATGAAGTGTCTTCTTTACCTTTTAAACCTTTGGACGATAAAATAGTGCAAGGATCTGTTAAACAGAAATTCTTTACAGTAATCAATTAAATCTCTACATTCATCAATAAAGGATAATAGTGAAGGATATCTGTCCCAGTCATGAATTTTGTTTATATTTGCTAAAAAACAGTGTCATTGGAAATGTCTACCTACATTTAAATTAACCAGTCTTTTTGTGCAATTAATTTTGTTTATATTCTGTATTGTAAAGATTGTGTGTTTGATCGCATGAAAGAGAAAAAAAAAATATTTACCTTGATGTAGAAATGAAATAAATATACAAATCAAGACTACTCAAATTCAAGAACAAACACATTCTTGGGAATGATATGCTGTAGTTCATTGCAAAGATGCAGCAGCAAAATTTTAATAATACATTAATGTAGCATATTTTGAGTAAAATTATTTTTCCAGGCAATTTATGCATAAGGGAAATACACATTTAGAATGCTGTGATTTGCCTCAGAAAAGAAAGCCTGCTAATCGAAAAGCTCGGAGTTCTGCATGTAATCCATAGTCACTAGGAAGGAGATGTGGTTAGGTGAACAGAATTTTCCAAACAGCTATTCATAAACATAATATCCATTAATGTAAAAAATTAATTGAAGAAATTAATGATATTTACCTATACATTACATATATTTTAATATAAAATAAGAAAAAGAAAATTGAATAGAACACCATCATTATAAAGGTCAGTACATATAAGCACAAACTAACAGCAACAATGTTTATACAAATACAGTTAAGTCACAGTAAAATTGGAGCAGGTAGAGACCTCTAGTGAAAGATCACTATGATTTAATAAATAGTTCTGGAAAGCTTGTGCAGGAAATAGGAGTAATAATCTGTTTTCTTGCTAAAACATTACTATAAATTTAACAAAGATTTTTCATTGAGAAAGAATACTGATACTCTTAATTGGGAACAGAATTCTTTTGAATCTAAAATATTTTTGAGGGAAATGGTGACTAATATAATCTTCTGAAAGTGTAGAATTGTTATAAATCAACTGTAAAGAAATAACAGACTTTTTTTCATGTACAGCATTTTTGTTTAATTGTATATTTATTTCTAAAACAATTTCTAAAAATTTTTTAATGAAAACTGACTTCCTGTAAAACACGTTTGCAATTGTTGATTACAAAGTTGCAATGTGAACCAAAAAAAAAAGAGTTCAAAAATTAAGAAATTATTTGTGTATGCACATATATGTAATTATATATTTTTATGTAGGTACCATTTTCAAAACTTTTTACATATATTCTTCTTACTTTTCTAAATTTGTTACAAACAACAGAATAAATCTAATTAATTTTTTTTCCCTTCCTTTTTATCTTTCCTTTGGATATCAGAGAGGACGTAAGTTTCTGTTATTCTTTTCCAAAGCATAGTTATTGCTACTAATGTTGTGAAATCTTGTCATTAACCAAATAAATTAAGGTCCTCAACATTGAGGCCATTTATTGTGTAATGTAAACATAAGCTGGTTTTGCTTAGAAGTCATTGCTTCTGTTAGGCAGTCAGCCTTCTCATATACTATAATTATCTAAACACACTTCCAGCTCTTCCGAAACTGGACTTGTTTTTATGATATGAAATGGATCACAGCTTAATATAAAAAATTTAAAGTTCTGTAGCACTATCACAGTTGCTCAAGAATGGGAAGTAAAGTCTTGAAAGGAAACAGTTTCTGTTAATTCTTCCATGATTGTGCACTTTATAATACAGTTGTTGATAGATCACTGTAATTAATTGCCCTCTTACTTAAGAATAGCATAATCATATATATTTACAATTGGCCTTTTAATCTCTAAGATGCCATTACAGTGATATATCTATATATCCAATGGTGAGTTGCAAGGAGCTTGCACTAGCCCTTTGTTGAATTTATCTCTAATTTGTAAACCCCTTATTTATTGTTTGTTTATTTATTCCAAGAGAAACATGACTTGCATATCATACGATATTAGTCAGCTTTTTCCTGAAAATAAGGTTCTCATTGTGTTTGATTTAAATTTGGTCAAACACATTGCAGATAACCTAAAATTTAAACAAATGCTGGAAAATGCCATTTGTTTTAAGTAAATCTGTTGCTCAGATATCAAATTATTTAACATCAAGATGATGAGATGAAGTCCTATTGTTTGTTTTTCTTTAGATGAAAAACCTCTGAGATTTTCATCCTAAATTATATGTATTTTTATTCACAAAATCATCACTTGTTCTTAGAACCTGTTACAAGAATCAGTTCTTGTAGCAGGTTTTAAGAACTGTTGTTATCAGTTGAAGATTGTTGTTATCAGTGTTCTTAGAACAACTGATGTGAAGGACAGAGGAAATATTATCTAGTAACTTCTGTTATAAACTGTCCTGCATAATATTTTATGCAATATCTTTGACTGAGTTTAAAATTAAAAAAAAAAAAAAAAAACTTTTTAAACACTTTTTTTAGCTTCAGTTCCAAAATATCATCAATTGTATGGAACAAGTCATTGCACCATCAGAACATTCTAAGAAAATTAAACTCATGAGATAAAATGTTAAAATATATTTCTGGCAAACATTTCTTAATAACTAACTTTGATTTATTAACAGCAATAGTACATCTATTTAAATTAGTAATTTTAAAAACTGAATTATTTCAGAATAATTAGAGCTTTCATGAAATCTGTAGTTGTGAGACACACCTTGTTTTTAGTACTGTTTATATGGGGGGGGAATGGGGAAAAAAGATGATATATATGTTTTTATTTCATGTACTTTATTATTTTATGCATATAAGTTGTTAATTTTTTTTAGGTACACATTGTTAAAATCTATTTTTTTTTCCTTATAGGGAAAGTAATGAGACATCTGTCTGACATCACAGAAATTTACAAAGGAGATAAATCAACACCTTATTTTTTCATTTTTACTCAAGAAATTTTCTCCTTCTAGGAAACAAAAGAAACAAAACTTATTATGAATTTGTAAATATAATTAGGATGTAATTGTTCTACCTACTTTCCTGTCATGAAAGTTTCAAGTTAAAAATGGCAACATTTTCTTCTACCATGAGTCATATTCCCATTTCTATAAATACAAAAAACAGGACTGCAGTTTCCTTAGCATTTAGAGAAAAACACATTTAGACTAGTTTAAAATAGAGCTAATTGCATTCATCCCTTTTTCAACATCTCTATTTTTTCAAATGAAATTTATTTTATAGTGTAGTTTATATGCATATTGTACTCATTAATTGTGCTTTCTTAATCTCTTTTTTTTTTTTTTTTTTCAACAAAATTATTGTGCCAAATCATTTGCATTATAAAATTGGATCATTTTTTATATTTATGTAATTTATATTTACATTCCATTTGATGTCAGATTGAAGCATATGAATTTTTATCATAAGTTGAAAAAGAAAGGACACTGAGCTGTAAAATCTGACATTTTGTTGCTGCAGCCTTCAAGAGGTTAAACGTGGCTTATTCATATTTGACTACATGTCATGTACTTATTTCTGAAAATTATATGTTTAAAATGAGTGCACAAGAATATTGGGGAAGAAAACAAATAAGTATTTACAATGAAACATTCTTAATTGAAGTAAATTATATCCTTCTGTTGCCTTCCTGAGGGCTGAGAGAAATTCGTTAATTTTTCTACATAGTTTATAAGAAGTTGTTGTTGGTAAATAAGAGGCATACCAAACCTCAACAATGTTTTCTTCCAATGCAAAATATTACATGCTAACTGAAAAATAAATGAATGAAATTCCAAAAAATTAAGTCCATATTTTCCATAGTTTAATATTATGATGGTTAATGAATTATATTTAATATAACTTATGACTTTCAAATCTTATAGTTCTAAATAATTATTGTCATTACCTTTGCTCATTAATTCATCTCAATGATGACCAACTTAACTGAAAATACTTATATGGAAATAGCACTATTGCTCACAGTAATCTATGTATTATTATTTTAAACAGTGAGGCTGAGGTACACTGGGAAAAAAAATGGGACAGTTCTATATCTCTTGTTCTACTGTGCCGATTGACGAAATTCAACTTATGCGTTTTATGTCTCGAAAGCACGACTTAGGATATATATTAGATTTCTATATAAATTTGTTCTAATATAGATATTTTGCCACAAAATTCAACTTTTTCTGAAATGACATGCCTTTCTATATTTCGATTTTACAACTCAAATTATGTCAAATTGCCAAGTTTTGTAAAAATTGCATGAGTAGTTTTTCAAAAAGTAGCTCTCAAAATTTCAGCTTCTCAATGTTAATTGAATTTGATATATATTTATTAATATTTCTTTTTAGTCCAAAGGGATTTGAATCCCGAAGGACTATTAGTTTCGTTTTGGCATTTTGCGTCGGACTCATAAATGTCGGTTCACTTTTCAAACTGTTGCCACAAAATGTTAGAGTCCTGCATTATATTTGAAGAAATTAAATAATGAAAAATCTGCATAAATGTATGTATATTTCTCGTATTGTGATAAAACAACGGTACATAGAGTCATCGAATTTGAATAACGTAATAATCCTCCAACGAATATGAGCATGTGGAAGACCAAAGAAATTTGAAATTTGTTTTATGATCGATTTCATATTTTTTAAAACTTTGACGAATTTTTGATTAACAAACTCAAGGATTTCAAAGCGAGCAATGGCAACGTTGTGCAGAAAAAACATTTTTATCTCCAGCGCGTGAGTCTCTGTATCGGAAATTCTAAAGATATGCTCGTTTTAAAACTATTTTGCGATATTGCTGTTGCACTGGATCTTATGGTTTAAGTGCGAGGAACATGATATTTAATAAAGAAAGGTAACACACAAAATGTTAAAAAACGCCCCTTTGGACATAATTTAAAATCTGAAACATTTCAGTTTTTTTTTTTTTTTTTTTTTTTAACTTGCTTGTTTCCTTCTTCCAGAACTCAAAATTTAGGCTTAATCCAAATATAATTCGCGCATTTTTTATGATTTATTTTTAAGTATTTTTTTTATAAATTTTTCCAAAAAAAATTTGAATTATAACCTGCAAGATTTTTAACATCATCTTGAAGTCATTATTTCTAGACACACTTGCAAAAAATCAGTTTTTTTATTTAAAATTTTCTAAGATATAACTGAATTTACATATTGGCACGTTTTTAAATTTGGCATATATGTTATAAGCGATAATAACACTCAATGTGCTCTGCGCACTTTGTTAAAATTATTTGAAAGTATGAATGATGACTTTTTTCCTGCTCGTGGGCAATGAAGAAAAGGGAAATGAAAATAGGTTACTATAAATTAAGAAATTCTCCAAGGGAATAATTCTTTGCGCAAACTGAAAAAAGTTGTGCCAAGATCAGTTTTTTAATTTCTCCTTAAATTTTGCACCAAATTTTACAAAATGTAATATTTAGACATAATTTGAATCGTAGATTCGAAATATGGAAAAATATTTGCAAAAAATGGCATATAATATCCGAAAAAAACCAGTTTTGTGTCAAAATACCTATATGAGAACAATGCTATATATAAATCTAATACATATCCTAAGTCGCACTTTCCAGACATGAAAAACGCAATTTGTATTCCATCAATTGGCCCAGTAGAATGGAAGATATAGAGCTACTTTTTTCCCACAGTGTACATTTATATTTTAAGGCCCATTTAAATATGCAAAGTTTTATTAATTTTATAAAGAATGAAACATTTCTTAACAAAAGTTATGCAATCAAGTATGTTAATTAATATCTCATATAAGATAAGGTTTTATTTAAAGCAGTTCTTTAACAGAGAGTGCACTATGTCACAGACAAGTTTCTTCAGAAAAGAGCAAAGAAGTTAAATCTTTCTTTTCCGATCTTATTTATTTATTACTGAAAAGATTGTAAATGCTTCAATGGAAATCAATTTTTACAATTATTGAATTAATTCATTCACCACCAAGCATAAAAGAGGTCAATAAATCATATAGCTGAATTGAAATGCATAATTGTAAATTATATATGATATATTTATTCAACTTTTGTGTTTTAGGCATTTAGCAATGCTTTTTTTATGCTGTGATGGCCATGAGTGACCTACAGGGCAAAAGCTATAATTTTGGCATTATTTACAAGTGATTGCCATGATGTAAATGAAAAGCTCCATATTAGCTCTATACTAATTGTTGATTATTGTCCATGGTTATTGTTTGATGAATAAACAAACAACTTAGCACAGATAAATGATAATAATGCTGGTACAAAAATTCAGTGTCGATCACTGGCGAATTTTTTGGTGGTGAATGTATTACTTTTTAAAAACATTTTTAAATATATGTATGAACATTTTAGAACCACATCTTTTCTATTTTTATTCTAGTTTAATGCAAACATATGTGATCCATTTTCATTCAGTAATTTGTTTAATTATTCTTGTATAAAGTGCTGTTTTAAGCAGAAGCAGTCTTCTTGCCTGCCTTACAAACTAGATACAAATGTTATTGTGTTTATTTCAATTAAGGAGGAAAAATTCATTAAGGATGCTGCTGCTGTCAAGCAACATACACCCGTGGGTTGTTATTATTGTTAAGACTGAAAACATTCCATGTAAATAAAATGTAGAATAAAAGTTTCTTAAAGTAATGTACATAATAAAAACTGTTTTGAAAAGATCTGATATTAAGCACTGGTGTCATCTTTGTTTTGCATTTATTTTTTGAATGTAAATAAATCTGTTGGCTATTCTTACAGATGTCTGTCTAATTATTTTTTGTTTCAGTACATAAGGCTTCATTCAGATGATGGTTTTGTCGTCATAAAGCTTTGTAGTTTAAGACATAAAAGTCATTAAGTCTATTAGCACCTGTTTAGCAGGGTTTATGCCATAGCCAATCAGGGAAGGGAAAACTGCACATGGATAAATGTATAGCTAACTCAGCAAAACCATCAACTGATGTCTCATTCGCTGTGACTGGTGATTATTTTACCAACCTGGCATAAAGTTGAAAAGTTAGAACTTTTAGGCAAAATTCTTAAACCAGTTTTTGTGACACAGCAAGGTCTGGTTGCTTAGCAATGAAGCTCGGCTTAAACCGGTTATGACTTTAACCACCATGTAAACAAAGCTTAATTGCAAACATTTATGCTTAATGAGTAGCATACAACTATAAATACAGTAAATATATAAAAAAAAAAAGTATATCTTCAATAAAGAAGTCATGGTGTGCATCTCTTCCTGCTATTAACTCTTATTGGCTTGGCTTCATTCCCTGAAACTGTCTCTCTCTTCCCTTATCCATTGTTGATTTTCTTCTCGGGAAATTTCACATTTGGCTCACTCTAGATCACGGGCCACAGAGGTTTATTTCCTAGTTAGTTTATTATAGCTCACAAGGCCAAATAAGCATTATCCATAATGTATCAAACTAAAACACATCACATAAGATAAATTAACTTTTAGTTAATACTTAAAGATCAGATTTATGATAGCATAACTTAAATGATGCAAAAACTATTGGGACCTAGCTAACAAGATAACAGTAGGACAAGACTCAAAACATGGTAGGTAGCATTATGAGTAAGAAAATAAACAAAAGATTTTAAATGCAAAAATTCACAAAATAAATGAAGAGAATATGTATAACTATGCGTTATTAATTATTTAATTTGGCATGTTTCATGATAAGTTTCAATTATTAGTTTTAACTGTTGATGAAGTCAGGAATAGTTAACTTAAAAGTATTAGTAAAATTTTATTGAAACATAACCAGTAATGTTTATTAGATGCATGTAAATAATACATACAGATTTTGATTTCTTGTAAACAATATTTCAAAACCAACTAATCAATTAAACATTACAGATGCTACAAAACAACAGAACTGATCCCTACTTCCTTGAAATATATGCAGGGTCTGTAAATTAGATGATTTTGCAATGTTGTGTTCAATTTTTAGCATGGTCATATAAAAGAGAGTGATTGTTTCATTCCTGGATCGGTGAGCAACAAACAATTGTTTTAAAGGCTTTTTTTAAGAACGATATCTGCATTGTTTCCTCAATATGAATTTAAAAAGAAATTCTTTGTTGATGGAAAAAGTAAAGTGCTATCCAAACATGCCACTGAATCAACTATTAAGGAAAGTGTTAAAATTCACACATAACTTTGAGGCTATAAGATTGTCAATGGAATAAAGCCTTTGATAATGAGCAGTGCACCATGCAAAGAAACTTGAATTGATCAAAATCAACTGTAAGGCATTTTTATTCATTTTTATTTTTGTATCTGTAATTCCATCCACATAAAATTTGAATGGTGCAGGAGCATTATAGGGATAATCCAGTTAACAGACTACCTTTTTGTCAAAAAATGTTTAAATTTGATAAACCGGGACAGAGAAATCATGATTCACGAATGACAAAACACAGTTTTGTTTGTCCAGCCTAATAAATACTTAGTTATTCTGATCTGATGGAAACCCATGAGAACTTTGCACAGAATCCATTGCTTAGTTCCAAAGCAACAGTGTAGTGTGCTGTTACAGCTTCTGCCATAATTGGTCCTTATTTCTCCAAGAACAAGCATAGGTGTATTTGCAATGTGAACAGTGATTGTTTCATGCCTATGCTCCAGGACTTCTTCATCCCTTGTGAACATTGTGTTCCAGTGAGTAACATTTGCAACAACAGAATGAGGCCACAATGAATACTTTGTGACCAATTTTCTCTGGACACCACACCTCCAAAAATGATGACTTCAAATGGCCAATAATTACTTATACTCCAGACTTAAAGTGTATGTGATCTCTTCCAGTAGGATCATCTGATAAGTGTTATGTATTGCTGACCAACATTATCAGTGGAACAGTATTTTATATTATTTTAAATAAATGTTAAGTCATGTGCTTTCTAATAAAAATAAGCATATCATAGCATGTAGTGTTTTCATGACTTCACTAACATTTAAAAATTGTCAAATTTACTGGCAGTCTCTGTATTTGTGTGGTCTGTACTGGTAGTCTGCTGTGGTGTAATATAAATGTTATACATTCCATAGAAACACAACATTTCTACAATTATCTCCTACTTTTCTGAAAGAGTTAGTGGCCATGGAGCTGTTGAAACATGAAAATAAGT